TGAGAGGTTTTTGTTTGGTCTCCATACCTACATATGCACTGTCTCTCTTGATTACCTAATTCTGGAGAATACTAAGTGTGGATTGGTGAGAACTATCACTCGAGAGGGAAAACTCTCAGGTTGGGATTGCTCTTCCCATTGTTTGATTGGTACACAAATTAAAACAATATAAGTGCTTTCAGTAAGATGACAATGTTGTGTTTCCAGGATCTCAGGATGTGACTTTGTCCTCTACTTCCTTCACTGAATGTTGGAATATGAAAGGAAATAAGGCTTCAAGTCAATTGAACTAAGTCTGAACCCTTTCCATTCAACACAACTGAGGTTTGAGTGAACCTATGGTGTATAATTTATTCCCTGCATAGAGAATTACAGCAGAGTGTTTGTAAAGCTCCTTCTCTGACACTGGATGTATTTTTTTTGTCTCTTACACTTAACATTTATATCTTAGTGAATGTCATGTCTGGATTCAGTTGCTTTTATGATCCTGTCACTGTCACATTAAATGAAAAGAGATTGAAAAGGAAACATTTTGAATGCTGAATATCTGAAATAAAACCTGGAAATGCTGAAAATCAAAGCACCTTCAACAGCAACCCATTCCAATCGCAAGACACTTTTGTTTCAGGGACTTTTGTCTCTGTCAATGGGGTCTAATTTGTGGGAGTTCCAGTCAGATTTAAGCACCCTGGGATGCTACACTGTGTGAGGAATGCTACAGAAATGCAAGTTTTTGTTGATTCGTAAATATCAAATCCCGAGTCTTGTGAACTAGCTACATTTCTTCACTCAGAGGGTAGTGAATTTATGGAATTCTCTACCACAGAAGGCTGTGGATGCTCAGTCATTGAACATATTCAAGACCGAGATTGATAAAATCTAAAGGGATTAAGAGATATGGGGATAGGGCGGGTAAATGGAATTAGGTTAGAAGATCAACTATGATCTTATTAAATGGCGGGGCAGACTCGAGGTGCTGAATGGCCTACTTCTGCTCTATTTCTTAGTTCTTATGTTCTAGCATCTGGAACTCTGCAAAGCTGGAATTCCATAAGGTTGTTCACAGCAAATCCGGAATTCGTTAGCTTACAAATCCTACTGTAACTCCTTCATATTAGCCTCCACTGTTAGACTCCCAGTTTATAAATTCACGGGGGTGATTGTGTAAATGAGCCCTGATGCAGAGGATTGTTTTTCAAACGATATCCTTTAACGGTGCATTGCAAGGAGGACATGTGCTCGCAATAAGGTGCAGTACTGCAAGATTGCGCCTCATGGATGATTTCAGGCTAGATTGCTTTGCAATGGATTTCCTGACAAACTGAAATGGATATTTACAGGAGAAAGGGAAGTGGGAACTAGGCTAAAGAGATGCAGGCATGTATTCTGCACTAAAATAAAGTGTACTACACTCCAGGGCACTGCAGATGAAAGACCAGCCAGGCAGACAAGTGAACTAGGAGCAAGGGTTCTTCTAACTCAGCTCCTCTTAACGCTGCAAGCCGAAGTCTTAATGGGTTAGATAGTCTTGGGACGTCCTCCTGACGTGAAAGACGCTTTATAAATGGAATCTTGTTGTTGTTGTTGTAGTCTGAGCTGAACCAGCAACAGGAAAGCTTACCAGATAGTACTTTCAATAGCGAGTTATGTGTTCTTAGCTCCTGCAGGTTCCCAACCCACACTCTGGAGTCCTCAAATCTTGGCTCTTGTCAACCTGCACCTAGTACTGTGCCTCGGAGTCCTGGAGCTCAGTGGTTAGCGCACTCGCCTCACAAGCGAGAAACCTGGGTTTGATTCCTGGCAGGGCGAAATCTTGGGCAAGTTTCCCTACTCCACACGCCTGATAATAATCCTTCTAGAAGATGTGAAAAAGCACTATGTCAAATCCAAGGATTATTATATTATTATAGTACTTGTTGGAATTAGATAAGCAGTATACCGCCGGAGAGAGTGCACATTCCATTCCAGATTCAAGGAACGTAATATTCTGCACAACGTGTGTGTAATGAAGTGCATCCACTTATATGCAAATGGAAATAATATCTACTTCAAACATTTCCGATTTACACACTGTTCTCTGCTCCCCCTGTCAATTACAAACCAGCTGAGACTTGGTCTCGTTCTTAAGCCAACTTGAGCTCTGCGTCATTGTTGCAACTGCATTTGTCCATTAGATGGCGGTCCTGACTGGCATCATCTCAAAAGGATGTGTTCCCAATTTACAGTCAACTGGGTCTCAGGTTAGGAAATGCATCTTTCTCATACGTAAACACAGCAATCACATGCTTGGAAAAGGTACATGTTTTCTCCTGGTTTACTGACTGTCGACCACAGGAAAGAGGGGAAACATGAGTTTAAACTTTGTCAACTCTGGCCAAAGTTTCGACTTAAGTTCCACGTTGGCAAACCTGGACCAGGCTTCTTTTTAAAAATTCTTGTTGAGACCATTTTTCTGAATGTCATTTAATCCCAGTTTTTCTCTCTCACAGAAACAAAACTTCAATGTTCAAGTTATGGCAAAGTATCTTGGTTCTGTATTATTGGGATGTGGATCTCTTTTAGCCATCGGTAAAATGTTTCATAAGTAATCTTTGGTGGGACCAGCTCTGAGGGCAGTGAAATTGGCCTGTTGTCCTTGGGCTTAAGAAGGGAAGATATTAGCTAGGGTTTCCGATTGCTATCTACCCCCCACGCACACCCAGCCCTTTGCAGCTGACGTGTGCATGTGGGGTTGAGATAACAATAAATAATAATCCTTGCATTTGATATAGTGCTTTATCATGTCTTTGTGTGGTCTTGAAGCGCTTCACAGAATATACTATAAAGTGAATTGACTGTATATTTTGTGGGCAAAATGGGATCAGGCTTCATTGTGATGCCCCCCTCATGGTTAAATAACTCACTGGCGTTCGTTGTCTTAACTCACACATGAGTTGTGACCACTTGGGAGAAGTATCATCAGGCAATCATTATCTGTGGAACAGCACCCAGCACATATCAGTGACTTCAGGAAAGGAGAAGAGATATGAGGAAGCGCTACAGTGGCAGAGGTGTGATCCTTCATGTGAGATGTTAAATCCAGTCTCATGGTTCGAGTGTGGACATTACAGATTTCACGACACAACTTTGAAGAAACGGAGGGTGTGCACCTGACCAATAATCCATCCAAATCAATGGAAAAACAGATTCATTGCTTCTTCATCTCCTTCCTGTTTATGGGCTATTGCTGATGCATGTTAGCCCTGCATTAGTCTACAACAAATCACTCCACTTCAAAGTCAAGTGCTTTGAGAGGTTTGGTGAGATGCATTAGGTGTTAATCTAAATGCTGGTATTATTTATAGTGCATTAGCTCTGCCATTCCCCAGCGCATGACCTTATGCATGGTTTGTACTGCTTGTTTATGTGGGTTCACAGACACTTGGGGATGTCATCTGTCAATCCATTGTTTGATCTCAGAGTGGATCCGTCTCTCTGTAAATCTCAAACAACGAGGGCTGACCTAGTGAAATTTACAGAGTCCAGGTCAGCTCTACTCTGGAAAGTTCAGTAAGAATTATAAGATGTCTGAATCGAGGGAGCTTGTTTGTATCTACATCGCTGTTTTTTTAAAAATCTGGTTCAATCTCAAACTTCAATCTTCTTTTCGCTATTGTGTTCAACCAGATGCCTCTTAGTCCAGTAAATGTGTGGTAGATTTTCGGCAAGAAAAGCGAGAACACTTTTTGTAGAGTCAAAGCATTTTTCATCATTTTAGAAAGGTCTTCTAAAATATAATTGGACTTTTCTACTTTCCTCATTAACCTTAGAATCCTAGAATACTACAGCACAGAAGGAGGCTATTCGGACCATCGGGTCTGTGCTGGGTCTTTGAAAGAGCTATCCAATTAGTCTCACTCCCCCATTCCCATAGTCTTGCAATTTTTTCCTTTTCAACGATATATTCAAGCACGCACAACCTTCTACTGCTTCACCTTGCTTAGGGGATAAACTGGAGATTCGCCACAAGGAGGCTCTGTTCTTATTGTACAGGACAGTGACTTCTCTTGTAAATTCTCCTCTCTCACTACTCAGTCTCTTATAGTGAGAAATATTGGTATGTGATGCAGCTTCATTTCCAGCTGAGCAGTGTCTGAACATAGTTTACAGGGGTGTGTGTTGTCATCATGTTCGTTGGTTGACAATAGGGTGCGTGTGATTCTGAAAGCACATAATTGTACCCCCTCTCATCACTATCATCATCATCATCTTGTAAGCCAGCCATTGCCTGGAGTAAAATTGAGCTTTGTAGACCTGGACTGTTCTAGATATGTGCTGGGTTAGTGACCCCCAGCTGGGCCAGCAGTTGGAGTGCTACAAATGCAGAAAACCTCAGTGCCACTGGGTTAGAGAGAGTTAAGGAATCTTTGCTGAACATTATTTAGTAGCTGGGCTGGTTAGTGCTTTTGCTCAGATGGGGATGAAATTGGGCACAGCTTTGCCCCCCCTTCCTCTCGCACGAGTGTTTACTAAGCCAAAAATTTACTGGCTGAGGTCACATTTGAAGAGCGGTCACTTATTAATAATAATAATAATAATCCTTGCATTTGATATAGTGCTTTTCACGTCTTCTAGACGTCCCAAAGCGCTTCACAGAATATACTGTAAAGTGAATTGACTATATATTTGTGGGCAAAACGCGGCAGCCAATTGCGCACAACAGCGTCCCAAAAACAAAATACAAATAAGAGGGAGAAAATACAAAATAGGAGGAGGGGTGGGGGCGGTGGGGAGATGAAAATACAGCAGTTTGGGAAATGAAATGGAAATGGGAGCCCTTGCAAAGAAAGGAGCGCGTGAGAGCAGAGAAAGGGAATGAAAGGAAAGGGTTGAAATGGGAAGTGGCCAGTACTGTAATCCAGGGCACCACATGCTGAGAGAGAGAGAGAGAGAGAGAGAAGAGGAAGAAAGCACAGTGAGTGAGTGTGTGTGTGTGAGTGAGTGCATGTGTGTGTGTATGTGTGTGAGTGAGTGTGTGTGTGTGTGTGTGCAATGTGCTGACTTGGGAGTAGGCTGCAGGAAGTACAGTAGAGTAGGTGTGCAGACAGTAAGTACAGTGCACACAGATGGAGACAGAGCAGCATCAGCACAGTGCTGACAGCTCCCCTGGAAGGTAATGCAACGAGGTAGTTAGTGGGAGAGAGAAGTTAGACCAGTTCTTGGGTTCAATCCATTACCCCAATGACGTCAGGGGCTAAAGGGCTGGTATAATAAACAACCCCACCGAATCCATCAGCACTGAGCTGACAACTCAGGACAACCCACCCACCCACCCACCACCTACTTCTCAGTTCAATTGCGTCTTTGCAAAGAGACACCAAGGATCGACTCGTATCATCATGGGGGCTGTTTGTTTTACATGGCACTTCTATTTGTTTTTCCTCTTGTTAAACACTCGCCAAAGCTTTGGAAGTGCTGGAATTCAAGGTAAGTTTGCAATGGCTCGTGTGAGATTCCTGCTCCTTCTTCACATCACTGAGACCCAAGTGCGTCTCTCTCTCTCTCTCTCTCTGTCTCTCTGTCTCTGTCTCTTGCACTTTTCTCTCTCTCTCTGTCTCTCTCTCTCTCTCTCTGGATGCAGATGATTTCTGTTCCAAGTAGAAATTGGAGTGGGTTTGAAGCAAATTTATGATTACTTTTCCTTCTCTTTATTTCTCAATTTATTTGCAACCTTTATTTATACATATATATATATATATATATATATGTATATATATATATATATATATGTATATATATATATGTGTGTGTGTAAGTATATTTTTATATATAAAATAAGTAAATGCGTTCAGTGTGTGATTTTAAGAGTTGCCAAGGTATTTTCTCAAGTTGTGTTGGTCTGTTTGAGGATAGTCTTGTAAAAGATTAATGGCGATCAAAGAACACACGCAATAAATGCTGTTTGGGACGTGAGCTACAGAATGAAACTGCCCACTGTCTGTCTGTGTGTCTGTGTGTCTGTCTGTCTGTTTGGCTTTCAGATTTACAGTGCAGAGAATGTCTCGACTTACTAGTTTTCTTCTAATAAAATGGGGAGAATGTGAAATATTCTAACTACTTGTATGTTGCATTGAGTTTGTGGGCAATTCGAACAACGTTTGTGCAAAGCTATGAAGGGTTGCTTTAGATTGAGTATAGATGCTTTTGTTTGTGTGTGTGTGTGTGTGTGTGTGTGTATCTATAAAGGAGCTATGATATTCCTGTAGGATATAAAATCATAACTGTAATCGTTTAGTCAGATCAAATAACATGCTGTCATTCTGTAAATTGTAATTACGGGCATGAAATAAATGCTTTTGACAATGTGGGTTTTGTTAAAGTGGGATTCTTTCTCTACCACTGCTTTGCAGTCATTTTTTTATTGCTTTGTAATGGGATGTTTTAGCAGAATGCCATACATCATGTACAGTAATAGCTTGCTCCTATAATGGTTGCTCATGTGATCTTGCTGTCTTTTTGTGTGTGTGTGTGTGTGTGTGTGTAGAGCTGTGTCAGCTGGGCTTGATTCAGCTCTGCTTTTGATTATTGAATGGCTTGTAGCCTTTTGGAGGAAATTTAATTTAGTTCCCTTTCCCATCTGTCACCAGGTTGAAAAAAACCCAAGCCTTTAATGAGTTGTTTTGATGGCTGATATTTACCAAATGCTGTGACTTGTGTCTTTGTGACAGGAATGTGTGCCGCGGTTCAGCCAACAGCTGCCTGAGGCCATTCTGTAGACTTTACTTTTGTGATTTTATTTTTTTCCTGATGTATCGTGGGGTTTAATAACCTGCTTTTATAGCTGGAAGTCAAACCGCTCTTTCCACATTAAAGTGCGAGCCTCACTGGCAATGCTGTTTGTATGAAGAGGTGAGACTGACATTTCACTTCTGTTTTCCCTCGAGCTCTTCCTGGCTCCCAGGTTGTTTCTCTGTACTTGCCACTTGTCTTACAGATGTTGACGAATGCTCAGAAGGAACTGATGACTGTCACGTTGATGCAATCTGTCAGAACACGCAGACCTTATTCAAGTGCACATGCAAGCCGGGATATAAGGGGGATGGAAAGAAATGTGAAGGTGATTATAACCAGCAGTATTGTTGCTTTCATTCATTCATTAACAATAGTAATAAAAAAAATTGGTCACTCAATCCACAACCTTTTGTGGGACACTGCTGTGTGCAATTGGCTGCTGCGTTTTGCCCACAAAATACACAATCAATCCACTTTATAATATATTCTGTGAAGTGCTTTGGTATGTCACATTGATGTGATAAAGTGCTGTATCAAGTACAAGGAATATTATTATTATTAATGTAACATTTTGGGAGGAAAAGTAAATATTGACTTTTTTTCTCTTTAGTCAAATCAACAACTTGCATTTAGATACAGCACCCTTCACTTAAAAGAAACTTCTGAAAACGCTTTACAGGATAAGAGTATGTAGAAATTAAGGGAATGTTGTTACGTAGGTAAATGTGGCAACTAATGTAGTTTTTAAAAATGTTGCTGTATGACAGAAGGGAAAATGTTCCAGTGTTATCCATTGAGCTTAAAACTAACTCACCTCCATTTATCTCACATATTTAATAAAGCTTATTTTTACTCAATTGCATACTGGTACTTCACTATATTTCTGCCCCTTCAATTTTGTTCCGTCTTCTCTTGAAAGACTCAATTTTTTTTTGTTGCCATCAGCGCAGGATCAACCCCACTGGGAAGCTCCAAGGTTCACTCCCTGGTCAGTGCAGAGATTGCTGATCTCAGTCAGGGGAGTGGGGGAGGTGCAAAAATTGTCCTTGGTGTCCCCTGGCAGCGGGGGGGGGGGGGGGGGGGGGGGTGAGGGGAAGGGGCAAAGAAATCAACCAAAGTTTTCACTCGCTGCTTTGCATTCAGCCCATTGCAGGAAATAGCACTTTGCTTGGTTGAACAGTCTGCGAATGTACAGCACAAGCCTGGATGGTGATCAGTAATGAGTCTAATCATAATAAGCATTGCATTTTGATACAGCGCCTTATCACATCTTTGAGATGCCTCAAAGCGCTTCACAGGATATATTGTAAACTCAATTGACTGTATAGTTTGTGAGCAAAAAAGTCTAGTAATATTTCCCCTTCTTACCTAGCAATGTTGATGCCCTCTCAGTGCCCAGCACTGGGGTTAGCTAACCTCAGTGCCCAGCACTGGGGTTAGCTAACCCAATACAGATTAACCCTGACAATGTCCTTCTCTGTGTGGCTAAATACCACATACCCATGTGCATTTGCTGACTGAGCGAGAGCAACAGGACTCTTAACTCTGTCCAGCAGAGTTCTCAAAATTAGGAATGGAAGTTTGAAGCGTGAGCTATTTTAAGGTTTTTTATTCATGCTTTTATTATGAGCTTATTATTGTTCACATGGCCAAGAATGTGGAGTTTGCTATAAACTTGCCTGAGAAAGTCGAGGGAAAGCCAAAGCTCTCTTCCCCTCCCCCCACACCACCCCACTCCCCTCCATGTAACAGTTGATGTTTGTGGTTTAAATGAAAAGCCTCATTTCACAGCTGAGGAGAGACCTGAGGTTTTGACTTTCTATCATTTTAAGAAATCAGATCCTGTACAGAACAGGAGCTTAGAGTTTGGTGTAATTCTGAACTCTTGAGAGAGATCTTGTCTGAACAACTCTGTGCATCTATCTCTGGCCCCTTGCTCTGATACAGAATTGAAGGGATTATAATATACCTGTCTATTGTACAGTAGTTTGTCATCCACTGAGAATTCCCGTTAGGAATACATTTCTCATTCAGATGAATTACTATACTTTGACAGTGTTATAATCATTCTTTTGTTTAAGGATCTCCTGTTTCTTGTTACTTATTGGTCTTGATTTCTGTTAATTCTACAACTGCTGATCACTATTTCCACCGAGTAAGTTAGCAACAAAGTCTGAATCGTTTTGTCATTGTGCTGTTGAATTGTAATCTTCTTGGTGTCTGTGATAGCTGCTAGTCCATCACTTTTGTACAGTGTCTACATCAACATTGTGACATTACCCATTCACACCAACTCTGTCAGGCTCCGTGCCTGGCTCAATTTAAGCACATTTTTCCTTTTTATTAGGAATGGGGTGGAAATGTAGGGGTTCTAAGTGAGATTAATATGTCTTTAAATGGCTTTTGTAACAGTTCTACAGTTTTGGGCTGTGTCATTGTCCCTTCTTAACAGCAAACATCCATCATTGGTTTTTCTTGTGTCCTGCTCCTCAGACATTGATGAATGCGACAACGAGCACAATGGGGACTGCGTGCACGAATGCATTAACATTCCAGGAAATTATCGTTGCACTTGCTATGATGGATTCATGTTGGCACATGATGGACACAATTGCTTGGGTAAGAAGAATTTGTCATCGTCGAATTGCGCACAGAAATAATTTTTGTGCCAGGCTGTCTCAGTTGGCAGCACTCCAGGTCAGAAGGTTGTGGGTTCAAGACCCCGGTTGGGACTTGAGCTCCTAGTCTAGGCTGGAACCCCAGTACAATATGAGGGCGGTGCTATTTTATTGGTGATGCTGTGTTTCGGATGAGACTTTAAACGGAGGCCCCTTTTGCCTGTTCTTGAAATAAATGTTGGGAATCCAATTGCAGTACTGTTTTCAAAAAGGACAGGAGTTTCTCCCAGTGCCCGAACCAACAATCCTTCAAATAAGATGGTACTTTCCTTCCTGGCTGTATGTGGAACCTTACTGTGCATAATGTTTGCTTGCAAAAATCAGTCACTAAACTTGACAGTAATTGTATTTTATGCACTTTGAGACATTTCAACGTGATAAGACTACAAAAAACATTTTGGATGTTATTTTCTCATGCACCACCAGCTGATCTGCCAATCTTATACAAATCATTTATCAACCCCCCCACCCCGAACAATTCCTCTTTAAATGGGATATTATTTTACATTTGTTTGGATGCAAACTTTCCAGCGATTTTTGAAAAATAAAATGCAGCATAAGATATCTTGAAAGTACCATTAAACCTGGCCTCGGCACCAAATGTATCATTCTTTTTCCTTTTTTAAAAAAATGTTTATTTGTACATGTGCGTCTGTAACAAGGATCCAACTGATTTTGTTTGCTTTTCTTAGTTATTTTTACTGGGGTCCGTTAAACGTGTTTAAAAGGGACATCTTTGTTGAATTAAAGTGAAAGGACTGTGGAACCATAAAACACCCTGATCCACTTACTGTGACACCACATTTAGATAGTCTCTATGGGGGTTTAACCATCAGAAAACAGTTCTAAAACCACAATTTTGCTTTCAATTGGAACTGTTGCTGGACCGTCTCTTGACTGTGAAGAATACCTTCAAAAGAGTTGATATTGTTCTCGATTTCTGTGAAGTTAGGCAAATCTTCAAAGCAGAAGTCTTGCCTTTTGTTTGAAGTTTCTGCATGGGGGGAAACCACCCCCCCAAAACAAACACATTTATGTAAAAAAAAACCTCATTCTAATTTCTTAAGCCACACTTTATGGATAGTCTTTCAAAGTGAGTGGTGTCGCTGAATGGGTGGAAGTTTAATTCAGACTTTCAGCTATACAAATGGGAACAAATCATCAGAGGGCGTCCTCTTGTACATCCGGCAGCTCATTCTCTCTCTTGTGTGTGTGTGTGTATCTCTCTCTCTCTCTCTCTCTCTCTGTTTGAACATGAAACTTGAAAATAAAAGGTAACTTGTAAAGGTAACTTTAGGTTGCATGAAATTTATCCCGACTAGATTAAATTTAATAGCAAGTGGTATGAAAATGTTGCGCGTTATAACTTTGATAAAGTATCATCTGCTTTTCATTACAGTAAATGTGGCGAGAAAATTGGTGTAAGGCAGAAAGGTCTCCCTGGTTCATCTGAGAAGCTTCTGTGTCTTCTTTAAGATTAACGCCTGACCCAACAGATATAATGTTAGGAGTGAAGTGACACTTTATTGATGATTGGCTCCAAGCCTTTTTCACAGTCACTGCATCTTACAGAAGTGGGTCAAGTCGGGCACAGAATTATTTCAAGGGAATAAAAGGAAAGATTGGGCACTGAAAAATGTGTTTCCGATTTGATCTGGAAAATAATGCCAAATACATGTTGGGCTTTACAGGCAGCAAGATTTATGTCTTTTCAATGTATTTAATTATTATTTTCTTCCCTGCTTAATATGACTGTTTCTGCTACCTTCCACCCTCTGTGGTGTCCTTCAGCCAGTAAAGCAGGATGGTCTAGATGGCTGACTAATTCACCTCCACGTTCAGTTTAGTCAAAAAGGCAGGTTAAGACTGTCTAGGTTGCAGGCTTGCTCCTTTGAGAGCTGGCAATACTTGTCTGTACAGCACAAACATGTGTAGTTTTTATAGCTAGGTTCAAAAGTACATCCACAACCAATATAATCGCTCTCCAAAAGGTGGAAGATATTCAGTATAATTACTTTTAGTCAATCGTAGAAGTATATCAAGTGTATTTGGAGGCCTGTTTGCATCTCCAGCTTGGCTATTTAGGTTCCAGATTGCTTCAGCCCAAAGTCCCACCTTGTGCTAGCCTGTAAGACACGATAATTGTCTTGAAACTTAAAATGTCACAGAGGTGTGAAAAATTCATCAAATCAGCCTTAATTTGGAAGCCTATTTTTTTTTAAGAATCACCAAAAACAGTCCTGCCCAGCCAGAGTCTCCCTATCACCCCATCTGAAGTTGAGAACTTTATTAAAAAAAAGTGGCAAGTCGTTGCTTCAAATAGTTTGATTTGTTTGTCCTAATACTCTGGCAACGTTGAGAGGAACCTGGGAAACAGATCCAAATACCAAACTTGACAATGATAGATGGTAGTGTATTTGGAGCAAAGCCAATGTAGCTTTTGGAGAGGTTTGAACTAAGCGAGTTCAATTCAATATTTTATCACCAAAGTACTGAATCCTTGTTAAATGACAAGATGGAAATCTATTGACTGTCTTTATGAATTAATGATATAGCAAAGAATATGAACTGTGGAGTCCAAATTTCAGATTATTATTGGTCTGAAATTGAGTAAATTCTGAACGACAGTCTAACAGTAAATAAACTAAATACATGTGTTTTTTTTACCTTTCAGATGTCGATGAATGTGCATTTAACAATGGTGGCTGTCAACACACATGTGTAAACACAATGGGTAGTTATGAATGTAAATGTAAGGACGGATTCTTCCTCAGTGATAACCAACACACGTGCATTCATCGCTCGGAAGGTATGTGTATCATAGACCTAAGTGCCTGGCCACTAACCCACTCCACCTCTAAATACCCGCACATCTAACCTGAGTACACCCAGCAGTGTGATCTGACGTTGCTGGCTGGTCTATACCTTCAAAAATTACAGAAAATCTGTAACTTGGAAACGGATGCGAGTCCTCATTGTGCGTGTTTCTGTTTTGGTGCTTTGCCTTCCTCCCACCCAACTAAGGGAGCAGCATCCCAGCACCAGCAGCGAATGTGAACCTCAGACCTAATCCTGCTAAGTAACTGGTTAGACTTCAGCAGTACACCAACGTACACTCTGGGGTCCCCAAGCCTTGGCTCTTCCAACCTGCGCCTAATACTTTCTGAAATTAGGTAAGCAGGATGAGTCCCTCCCGGGAGAGAGTGCTTATTCCATTCCAACAATCTATCTCTGGAATCTCCATGTTTAGGTGGGATGCATGGAATTATGTTTGATTTGGATACTCTTCAGTGTGGTGATGGGTTTCTGCATGTGTCAGACACGCTGCTGACCAAAATGATGCCTGCATGCTGCAGACTCAGCCCGCCGGTTATGCATTGAAAATGTGAGCTGAAATGATTGGGAAGAATAAACAGAATTCTTCACGGCCCTTGCATCACACTTTGCCAAATCAGTTTGACAGCCTGTCGCCTTGTGATCTAGCCTTCAAGCTGATTAGTACTTGTTAAAATAGCTTCTTCTGGTGTGTTTGACATGATGGGGATGCTTGCTGGGGTCAGTGGTACGTACACCTGTGTGGAAGGCAGTGGTTTTGGACTATAAGGTATTGGATGGCAATTCATGCATGCACGCACACACACACGCGCGCGTGTTAAACTGATCATGATTCGGAGGTTGCAGTGTTGACTGCACACAACCTCAGATCACACTGATTTGGAGGGGTTCAAAACCCTCGGCACTGGTGCTCGCTTGGCAAGGTTTGGTTCTATGTTGGACACACAGTTGAAAGGAAGTTTAGACTTTATCCAGTGGGAATGAACGATTTAATGTGGTTGATGTCCCTCAGGCATTTGAAAGATTTGATTGATCTTGTTAACAGCCGGATGCTGTTGAAAGAACATGGCGAGTTAATAGGCTAATTTGGGAGTTTATATGTAGTGAAGTTAGGTGATGGACAGCAGAATAGTAGATGATAGCTTTCAAGTTGGGTTCTTTTCTTCTCTTGGATTTAGGCTCCATTGTGCTGTTTAGACCATTGGTAGAGTTCACGTTGTGGGAAAGGAGCCAAGTAGCCTGTAGATTAGTGATCAGGTGTAGTATGTAGCCCTATTGTACATCAAGATTCCTTTTAGTGGAATTCAAGAATTTAGAATATGTTGCTGAAACACAGTCGTAGGGTCTTGCAAAATCGATGAAAATCCAGTTTGCTTTGTGCTCCGCTCTGCACCCTCGTACACTCTGTATCCTTTTAGTGTAGGACATCTGTACGTGAATCCAACATCCTTCCGTCTATTGGATTGAGAAACTGATCTGTTTACAGAGGGGCTGTTTTGTCATCCGACAAGTAGAAAGTCCATTGGCTGCTTCCCATACACTCCTCAACTTTAACCTTAATGCTAGGTTGTTGTTGTGGTGGTGGGGGTGGAGGTTATGTTTGTCAAAGAGTTTTGTTGCTTCCTGAGAATATAATTTCACTGCTGCCTTGTGCCTTAGGGGTGCAGCCTGTTGACAAGATGTCACTGTGCTGATGTCCCTCTTCTGCCCTTTGCCTGATTAGATTTCAAAGCTGAGCTTTGCAGTCACGGTACTTAGAGGGTTTTAATGATTGCAGCCCAATGCTGGGCTCACCTGGTGTCTGTGCACAAATGCCTCCAGTGGGGGCTAGTAGTTAGGCGACTCTAGGCTGATTTCGACCCTCCCCAACCTGGCGCATGGAAACCATTTGTAAGGTCCGAGCCATTGCTGACTCATCACTGACTGGAATATTCCAGTCTGTACGTCTCTGATAGTCACTGAATAAATCCAATGGTCTATTAGTGGAGAAAAGACAGGTTTTACAGTGGAGTGCTTAGAGTAGTGGTCAGCACCCTCGTCTCACAAGTGAGAGCACCCGGGTTCAATTCCTAGGCAGGATGAAACCTTAGGCAAGTTTCCTTACTCCATATGCCTAGCAGTAAGTAGGAACCTGGTTGTTAGTCGATTGCTTTCCGAGCGTAAAAATCCCTCCAAGAAAAAATTCATTCAATCCATGACTGTTTGTGGGACACTAATGTGCGCACTTGGCTGCCACATTTTGCCTGCAAATACAGGTGCTATATCAAATGCAAGGATTATTATTACTTAATAAGAGATGTGGACTTCAGCAAAATAGTGCTGATTTGTTAGTGTGCTGTAATGTTATAAGAAAAAAGGCAGAAATACTCAGGAATGGGTATTCTTGAAAGAACATAACATCCCACAAGCGAATATATTGGCCCCAAAATCTTTCAGAGCAGTTTCTGTTTAGACTTCTACTTTTCATACTGCAAAGTTACATGACTTCATGTTGCATTGATCCAATAAAATGTCAAGTTGCAAATGAAGATTTAATTTTCTGTGCAGTCATCATTGTTCTGTTAGTGAGAAGAGCGTTTTTTATGTAAAATGTATTAACTCAGCTCATACCAAGGGCAAACTTTGAATGTGCGAGGTGTATATTAGACAGGTGATGAACAGATCATAAAACTCAAGCTATTGGGTGCCTGAGTTTTTTCAGTTTAAGTCAATCTCCGACAACCGATGCTGTCGATCAGAGAAACCGAGTGAATGGTGCAGCTCAAAAGAAAGTGTCTGAATTAAAACAAAATTAAAATATTGTGTTTGCAGTAAATGATTATGTTAGGCAAAAACAGCCAAATCAATGAAGTGCCAAACTCCCAACAAGCCTAGATTCATAATAATAATAATAATAATTGCATTTGATACAGCACCTTGAAACGTCTCAAAACGCATCACAGAATGTATTGTATTGACTGTGTATTTTGTGGGCGAAACGTGCATTATGTCCATTAAATGCTATGAAAAAAATTATATGATTGCAGTTATTTTTATCTGCAGTTTTCTGCGATTCAAGTTTAAATCTGTGAGGTTCCTTATGCAGAGTAAAACTTCATCACCATTGTTCTGCCAGCGCTTTGGGATGTCCTCCCGACGTGAAAGCCTCTCTATAAATATAATTTTGTTGTTGTTGTTCTATATTTTTCATGTGTACCTTTCATATAAGACTGGATGCGATAGCAGGTAGCTATCAGTGTAAGGGTGGCAATAATAATAATAATCCTTGCATTTGATATAGTGTCTTATCACATCTTTGAGACGTCTCAAAGCGCTTCACAGAATATACTGTAAAGTGAGTTGACTGTATTATATTGTGGGCCAAATGCAGCAGCCAATGGCAATGTGGAGGCTCGATAATTATCTCAGGATGTGCAGCACCAAGGCTCAGGCTCCTGATTCCAAAGAGGTTGAGTTGGTCGGTGCCAGATGGACGGATCCAGGTTCCATCACAAGCTCAGCCGGGTGACAGTGGGGGTGTTAGAATTCAGCCATCCTGTACTAGGGAGGTGTGGTGGGGGGGGGGTGTGGAAAATAGTGTCTCTGCTCCTGATCACAATCAGCCAGTGCTGGAAAGTGTGTGGATGTCAGGTGAGGACAGGATCTCGTTTGTTTGTGATGTTCCCAATGGACACAGTTGGCACCACTCACTGTCTGGGCACACATGTGAAGAATAGCCAATTGGTTGAGGTAGCAGAGGGCAGAATAGGTTTTGAAAGAGGTCCTGTGTTATAAAGACCACAAGTTTCTCACATCGATTGCTTTGAGACTGTGACCAGCTTTTACTCCATGCCGGTCAAATTATTCTGTTCAGAGGTTCATAAATAACAGAGTAGTAGTTGATGGAATATAAAACCACAGATTAAATTGCATTTTCTGCCCATTCCCGGGCCGGGCAAAACCTTAGGCAAGTTTCCTTATTCCACATGCTTCTGCTTACCTCGCAGTAAGTAGAAACCCAGTTGTTAGTCGATTGGCGGATCGCTTTCCAGGGGTAATAATCTGTTCAAAAAACAAATTAGTCACTGAATCCACAACTGTTTGTGGGACACTGCTGTGCTCAATTGGCTGCCACATTTCACCCATAAAATACACAATCAATCCACATTACAGTATATTCTTTGAAGTGCTTTGAGACATCTAAACAACATAATTTGCTATATCAGATGCATTGACGAGTATTATTATTCCGCTACCAGTACCTGTGCTGGTACTTTCCTTATAACCATGTCTGCGTTTGGATCTTTATTTAAATGATGAGTATTTTTCTCCTCGTTGGATAAATGTTATTTATTGAACAATAGAATTCCCGACCTTAAAAAAAACTCTTCCTTCCTTTCCTCCCTCTCTCACCATTTATCTTACCGTTGTTGTCAAACACTGAGACCTTTAACTGAGAGAATGAAAGAGTGCTACGAGAGCACTTATCACTTTGACTGATGGACCTGGATCTTAGAGATTAACATGGCATTTTTTTTTATTATCCGGAGCTGGTGCATTTTCAAACTTTATAGGCCCACTAATGAAGTGTGTTGCTATAGTGACTGAGATTTCCCCCCCCCACCCCACCCACCCCAGCTCTGTCAGATATGAATAATTGTGTGAAACTGGTGGCGATATTAGCACTGCGCCAATCTGCCTTGTACTGTTCAAACAAGCCACAGACTTGCACTGAAACCCGACAAACCCTGGAGACGCATCATGTGTTCTTGACTACAATTAACTCTCATGGTGGAAAAAAAAACATATGTTGCTGGATATGCAGAAAATAGCCCTTCTTTGCAGAAAAGGGAGTTCAGTTCTCCCCCTGTCCTGGATAAAGTAGATTCATTGTTTAATCATCTTGTTGCTGTGTGGGGGACATTCCTAGCTGACTGCTACATTTTACTGCAGAACAGTCACTGACTGACCTTTACTTTATTACCTGAAGCACTTTGAGACATTTTGGCTTTTTAAGATGCTACATCAACTGTTATGCAAGTATTCTTATTAATAATTGTACAATGGAGGAGTGATACATTTCTACAACTGTTCGCAATTGTGTTCCTATTAGCAGCATGACGTCTGTTGGTCAAAGCTGCCTTGGTGTAATAATAACTATTCCCCGGAGACTGGCAATGGGTGATTGTCTTAGGATAGGACTAAGGAAAGCCATTTTGGGGATTGATATTCTACTCATTTTGGGTGTAATGTGGGGGTGCTCGACGGGACAGTATAGAGGGAGCTGCACTAATACTGGGAGCGAAACATATAGAAGTGATTCCTTTCTCACCACTGATACCGTTCACGTTGCCGAGCAGAAATAAAGAGATTTTAAGAAATGAAAATAACACAGAGCGCAGGCCTGCGTGAGCAATAGCCGAGGTTGTAATTTGGAATACTTTGTACCACAGGGTTTGCTTTGAACCAGCTTACTTATTTTCTGTATTTCTTTCCCGTCGATGGATTCTCACTCTCCAGAAGGAATGAGCTGCATGAACAAGGACCACGGCTGTGCCCACATCTGCAGAGAGACCCCGAAAGGAGGAGTGGCGTGTGAATGCAGGCCTGGGTTTGAGCTGGCCAGAAACCAGAGGGGCTGCTTACGTACGGATGCCTTTTTGCTTCTGTTTTGCAAATGGCTTATCTAACGCACGACAAAGAAACTCGTGAGATTTCCGCAAACCCCTAGATTGTCCAACGTCCCGAACCAGCCCAGACAGGTCCCTGATTGAAGTCGGTTGTGGTGTAAAAGGCCACATTTCTATGTAAATGGTTCACCCTTGTATTTGATGGAAGGTGTTGCACAGTTGCTCACACGTGTAGCTTTTGAGTGATTTCTCTGGCAGAGCAGTTTGGGTAGTAAAATGTGGGACAATAGGTCTGGCAGAGTGGAGCTGAGTTCTAGGTTAAACATCGTCTGTATCAATGTCTGTTTCAAAGAAGCAGGGAAGAAATGCAGCCCTTCACAATGACAAATCCTAGCCCAAATTTCTTGGCTCCCATATTGGTACAAAATATCTGTCAGAAAAAAACTCCCATTGTCTTAAACTGAACTGTTAAAAAATAAATGTCTTCCAAAATAATATTTTTTTTCAAAATCCTGCATGATCAATTTCTAAGACCATCAGGGCCTTTGAACAAATGTTTCAATAAAAACATTGAATTGATCATGGAATCGTAGCATTGTTGAAGCAGAAAAAGGGCGTTTGGCCCACAGTGACTGTATCGTCGGACCTCTGTTTTCTCCTTATAGATTTATCGCTGTTGACATTAATGCGGTTTTAATAACTGATAATCGGATGTTTCGTGCATTTGTTTCTTTTTTTAAAAAAAAGTAACGTGTAACCATGGAAACGGTGGGTGCCATCACACCTGCGATGATACTGAAGAGGGGCCGGTATGCGGCTGTCACCAGAAGTACGCCTTGCTGTCAGATGGAAAGATCTGTGTTGGTGAGTGTCGCTCTGGCTCGCGTTTCTCTGAAGCAGCTCTTCCCTTTCAATTGTGTTAACATTATAAAGCCAGCCAGGACTTCACTGAAATTGTGGTGCAATTTCACTACACAACTTCCAGGTGTTTGTTTTTTGGTTCTTGAAGACTTGGATTATTCATAATTATTTACATAGCTGCTACATACCATACATTGTGAAAATGGAGATTTATGTCCCTTCTTTACCTCCTCTCCACCCCAATTCCCCGTAACTTAAACTGCTGGGGGAAAACATTAAGAGCGTTAGTATTTAGCATCATATATTTATGGAACTATGTGGAGAGACTTGAAAATACAGATTTTAGCTAAAATAATTTTTACATGCCTTAAACTACAGTGGTCCTGTTGCTATAAATGTTTTATCAGTGATGTGAAATGTTTTTATTAAATTCTTGTTTATACGTCAACAATAAAATGAAAGTGGTTTTGTATTGTCTCTATGCTTTACATATTTTGAAGACTTTTACCTTAAAGAGGGCAATGCAAAGGCAACAGAAAGTCTGAGAACTTATTTGCTTCGCTCACAAATGCTTACTATGCTCACTAATTCTGTTCATCTGTGATTTCCTTTTTCTCTTTTTTAAGCTGCTTCTCTTTGGTGATGACTCCTGATTGCGTCTCTTGTCTGCAGCCAACACTTGAGTTTTTTCAATGTAAATCACAGCCATCCTTGAGCAATGATCTCTATTGCAACCATACGCCACCACCGTTCCATGCATTGTCACAAGTCGTATATGTAGAGTAGAAGGAGCTGAGACCTCTCGCTGAATGGGGATTAAACAGTAGCCAACTCCATCACAGGCGATACACAGTTTGCCAGCTTTGATCCAGCAATGCAGTTTGTGTATGTACGCACTAACAAGATGCATGTAGGGAGACATACTTAGGCAATGTTCTTTTTTTCAGCTAACTCATTGCACCTAATAGAAATGTGCTTATGTCCAAAGCCAAATTAACAATCTGTTCTTTCTCCTTACATTGACTCTAACCTCCGCAAAACCCTTTCCTTCCTATTAAAAAAAATCAATGGTTTCCACTATTTGCAAATTGGACAGTAACCATTTGCATCTTATAAAGAAATCTGGGCAGCATGTCAAAACAGCGGTCGCTTGCTTTGCAACCCCAGCTCTGGGTTCAGACTGTTGGAGGTTTGTTTTCCGCAAAACTATTGAATGAAAAGACTGTGTGCTTGGCTTTTTATAAACTTATTTTGATCAGCCTTGGATGATCGAGCAATGAGCCCTGTTGTAACTATTTGCTCCCTGCATGCCTTTCGTTTTCTGTTCTCCATTCACCGAGCCCTTTTTAGCAGCTGCTTGAGCTGATCTCTGACTGACCTGCTTCTCAGCTTGTAGAGGTGGCTGCTTCCCAAGTCGCAGCAGCACTTTCTGTTGCTCTTGAATGCCTTCTTCTCTGTGTGTTTTATTTCAAGACAAGTTTTTTTTCTTAGGATAGCCGTACGTTTTTGACTGCTCTCATTTTATGACCCTTTCGTATTTGACCCCCAAAAAGGGGAAGCCTAGACACTACATGTCATCAGGAAAATAGAATAAATCAAATTGGGGAAAGAACATTGTGGGGTGAAGGTATGTGTGCGTGCGTGTGTATGTGCGTGGGAGGGGCTGGAAGAAACCTGCTACAAATCAGGCCAGTTATTGATTTGGTACTTTAATAGAATGGGAGACAAGGAGTTAAAAACGTACATAGTTTTAGATGCCTTCCCACAACAGTGGAGGGTTGGGGAAAGGGGTTGATGGGGGTTGGGGGGGGTGGGGTTAAGGCAACACTTTCTGCTTTGGTTTGACCAATTGCAATCTATTTTGTGCTTGCTTGTATTATAGAGAGAGATGAGGCTGCAATTGAGAGCTCTGAATACAATACCACGTCAGTAGCTGATGTGGACACCCGAGTGAAGCGGCGCCTGCTCATGGGTAAACGAGAAACCTTCTGGTGCAATGGTTGATGTTTCTTTTTTTTCCCCCCTCTCTTTGCTGTCTTTACCCTCTCAATGCAAGCCTCGCTTTCTCTGCTGGAACTTTGCACAGCGACACCCTTCCCCTCAGCACAGCATGCTTGCTGCCTGATAACGCTTTGAAAATCTAACCAGTTTGATACTCGTCTATCCCTTGCCAAATAATACCTGTCAGCATCCTCTTGGCAGTGCACCACTAACACGTAATCGCTCCACAACCACAAAACCTCACAACGTGTTGCGATAATCGCAACGGCTAGAAAGGTTATTGGGTTTCAAAGTACGAAATCCATTTTTTGAACATTTTTGCTAGGGCGTGAAGGGATTTATAGGTGAAGGTGAGGGACTTGAAATCGATTCGCTGGGAGCCAGTGGAGCCTGGCGAGAACTGGGTGATGGACATGAAGAGTTTGGTGAGGATGTGGGCGGCAAGAGTTTTAATTATTAAACTCATGAAGCCGCAGATGTATAACCTAATGCTCCATCCACAATCATTTTAAGAAAATACATTTTCTGCAGTCTTCTTGGTGTTTCCATGTCACAGTGTTTTACAGAAGAATGTCATTAACTATCACTGCATTCAATGGAAACTTGGTTCACATCAATTGTCCTGGACTCTTGCTTTTTGGAGAGTGTTGGCCAGAGTGGGGCATTCCAATAATCAGATATGTGCTAACAAAATATTTCTTCTTTACAGTGGAGAAATTCTCATAAATTTAGCAGACAGCCTTTCTAAAACATGGCATCAATCAAGAAACGGTTGATAATAATAATAATAATCATCTTGGCATTTGATATAATGCTTTATCACATCTTCAAGATGTCTCAAAGCGCTTCACAAATTATACTCTAAAATGAACTGACTGTATTTTGTGGGTGAAACGCAGCAACCGATTGCACACAGGCAGTGTCTCACAAACAGTCATGGATTGAGTGACCAAATTATTATTAAAACATTTCGTTGGTTGAATAGGAATTTAATTTGAGGCTTGTGGCAGCGCAGATGTAACTTTTTTCAGTCTCTGACCCTTGCCCTAATATGTAAAAGGAATGCTTTACTCTGACACTTAGTACAGATGGTAGGAAACATCTTCCTAATGGCACCCCTCACATTGGTGAGCAGATTTATTATAATAATAATAATCCTTGCATTTGATATAGCGCTTTTCATATCTTCTAGATGTCTCAAAGCGCTTCAAAGAATTTACTGTAAAGTGAATTGTCTGTATATTTGTGGGCGAAACGTGGCAGCCAATTGCGCACAGCGGCGTCCACAAACAGTTGTTGATTGAAGTGACCAATTATTGTTTTTTTCTTGAGGGATTATAGGCATGTGGAGTAAGGAAACTTGCCCAAGGTTTCGTCCTACCAGGAATTGAACCCAGGTCTTTGGGTTTGATTTGTCAAAGAAGAAGAAAATCTGAACATAAATTTGATATTGCTGTGTTATTGATATTACAATAATGGGTGTAAATATTTTATATTCTTAATAGGGCTGGATCTCACAATTTGCCTTAAACTAGTTCCAATGTACTAACATTTAACATCTTCCATTTAGCTTCTTTTATCTTATGCGTTCAGTAAATTGAGGATTTTCAAATGCATTAATCTGTACTTTTACAATGAGTGTTACAGGTTCTGTTCTGAAGTAACTGTGTTAACAGCTTTGTCTACTTATGTTCAGAGGTTGGTTAATAAATGCACAGAAAATGATGCAAAACTCCCAATAACATTCCTGCAATCTGCAGAGACATGTGCAGTTAACAACGGTGGCTGTGATCGGACCTGCAAAGACACTTCCACAGGCGTCCGCTGTAGCTGCCCGGTGGGATTCACACTGCAGCCCGATGGAAAGACTTGCAAAGGTTAGAAGTTCAATTTTCCAGACATTCGAGGAAATCAGTGGTATTTCCATTGCCTACCACCGGGCACTAAGGCCAATTGCAATGCTGCTACTTCTGTCATTGCTGAGATCGGTTTCACACCTGAGGAGTTCCAGTTCTGTTTCTGTGACGCACAGGACAATGACTCAGAGGCACAGTAAAACCCTGCATGAAAACTTAAAACAAATAACTGGTTACTTCAGCAAATCATAGAATCCAACAGCACAGAAGGAGCCCATTCAGCCCATCGTGCCTGTGCTGTCTCTTTGAAACAGCTATCCAATTAGTCCCACTTCCCCTCTCTTTCCCCAGAGCCTTGCAAATTTTTCCCTTTCAAGTATAAATCCAATTCCCTTTTAAAAGATATTATTGAATCTGTTTCCACCACCTTTCAGGCAATGTATTTCCGGATCATAACAGCTCTCTGAGTTTAAAAAAAGTCAGTCATATTTTACCTGCCATTTATATGATGGACTTTGTGTGTGAACCAAATGAAGCCTCCGTTTATTTAGAAAAAGAAGCAGACTCATTTAATTTTTTTCTTGCGTCTTGCAGACATTGATGAATGCCTTATCAATAATGGCGACTGTGATCACTTCTGTAAGAATACCATTGGCAGTTTTGACTGCAGCTGCAAAAAAGGATACAAACTTTTAACAGATGAGAGAACGTGTCAAGGTACATTCAGAAAAGACTATTTCAGAACGTCTTCATGATCTGTTTACAGATGTTGTGGTTCACATGAATGCATAGGGCATGGTCACCTCCTCCCTCCCCTAGCTCTGGCACTGTTAAGCGCTCCGAGACACATGAAGGCTGCTATAGACGTCCAAGTTGGAATTGTTGTTTAAATTCTTTAAATATATGCAGTTGTAAATATTAGAACAGTATTTTTTTCATTCTTTTTCTCACCTCCCATCTTCTCCTGAATGTGTTTGACTGACTGCCTTTCCCATCTACTGCAATACAGTTCCACAGGCACTGTTCACTCTCTGGTTCTTTGCCCAAGTGGCCATTGATAGTTAATGTCATCAGGCTGTTTGACTGCTGAGGGCATCACAGCTGATCCGAGACCTGTCCTCCCCCACAAACAACCGCAAGTGTGCACTTTGTAGCCAGGCTCGCTGGATTGTGCTTTAGTCACAGGAACACTGGCCGAGGCCATCTGAACCAATTTTAATCGCCCTGACACTGCCCCAGCTGAGATCTGCTAACTCAGCATAGATAGAGCTACAAACCGGAGCCCCTTCCAGTTTTATTGCTCAATTTGTCATTGGATGCTCTCACTGAGTCATCGGAGCAGGATTTAAACTGTCCTGGAGCTCCAGTTTTTGTTACTAATTTTTGCCCACAAAACATAGTCAATCCACTGTACAGTATATCGTGTGAAGTGTTTTGAGACTTCTTAACGACGTGATAAGGCACTATAGCAAACCCAAGTATTATTATAATGGTAACAGAATTATTCAGTTTAAAAAAAACTTTCCAAAGTTAAAGTCAAAAATTTGCGAAAAGTCAGTTTAAGTGGCTTGGCTTTTTTATTGAATTAATAGGATTGCCTGCCTGCCAGCCGGCCAGGATACAGTGTAGTCTTCATTCAATGGGTTGAACAGCTCCAATGGAAGAGGAGATTGAGACATTTGTACTGGAAAAATAACCGCAATGGCTGGCAGCCGCCTTTTCTTTCACAGGCTCATAAGAAATATTTAGACGTGCTTGCTTGGGAATCGATTCAAACTATTTCAGACAATGTAGCTTTTAAAAGTAGGAGGAGGGTATTGCGGTCGGTCTCTGTACACTGAGCGGGAAAGTTGACACTTGCTGTCTGAGCTCCCACATGAAGAATGACCACTTGGGTCATATAAATGCAAGTTGCTGTTGTTATATCTATTTTGTTTTCATGTTTTAGATATTGATGAATGCTTCTTTGAAAGAACGTGTGATCACACTTGCATCAACTATCCAGGGGATTTTGAGTGTGTTTGCAACAAGGGATATACACTGTATGGGCTGACACACTGTGGAGGTAAAGCTGGAATGTCTTGTTTCATGGGAAACGTAACTACTTTCACGGTAGTATCTTACATTAAAGATGTTAAAAGATTGATGCAAAATTAGCAAAACAATATATTTTTTAAAAAGTTGTTTTATTCTTTACTCCTTGCACTATCCCCTGTAAGAGCAATCCAAGTGGACATTTGTGTCCATCATTCTAGGATGGAATCATGCAAGAGCTGGTTGGGAATAATGCTTCCTCTGATTTTTTTTCTTCTCTCTCTCTTTCCTCCTCCTATCCCTCCCCCAGGTGAAGTTCTAGCTTCTGCTGGGAACTTCCCTGTAGTGATTAGGTGAGGACACCATTTGGAGAGTTGTGATTTGGGAATATTCGGTATATTGCTTCAGCAAATAGGACTGCCGAGTAATTGTTCCACCCATTCTCATTTTATTAGAAAGCTATTTTGTCCTGAAGACAATAATTCCTGATAACATGGGTGTTTACAATGTTCTCACCCAACTGTGCATTGTTTATTCAAAAGCCCAGGCCATGATCAATGCTGATCTCTATTTAACTGTGAAGACATCATAGTTGGGACTGAACAGATCTGCAGTCAAGAGCAGGAAGCTTGCCTGTAATTCCTCCCCTCCCTTGCCCTAGAGCGCCAAGGCCAATAGTAGAATCCAAATTGCGATCAACTAACTCAGCACAACATTGAGGTTAAATCTGGGACTGGGTTTGTGTGACTGAATACCAAACCAAGCAATGCATTTGCCTTCTGCGCCAATGGATAAATATCAATTGCAACAATGAAAACCTGTTCTGTTTTGCACTTTTGTCTGACAACACCTTGCTTCTATTTCTCAGATATTGACGAGTGCAGCATCAACAGAGGAGGCTGTGAGCACATTTGCACAAACACAGTGGGAAGCTATGAATGCTTTTGTCACCCAGGCTACAAACTGCACTGGAACAAGAAAGACTGCATTGGTAAGAGAGTGCGCATGTGGGGCAGATAACAGCTGGTGCTCCCTGCCTGCAAAATGTATTGATAGCAATCTGTAGTCATTGGGTGAATAATTGGACTGGTTCTTGAATGTTATTGCTGTGTATGAACAATCGGATCTTGTGATTTCCTTGTTGTTGATTATTATCAGAATCTATATTTTGTATTTGTGACCAGTGGAAAACGGGAGATACTTTTCATTCATACCTTTGCCACAGTTGTTTTTCTCAAGAGCTGTCTTTGACTGGATTTTTTTCTTTCTCCTGTTCTAGTATCGCTGTTCTTTTTACATTGAAATGTTCAGTTTATTTCTACTTTTCACACTTTATAATTCTTACCCTTCCTCCAGTTTGCGTTTAGTTGACGTCCTTCATTGGTCAGCAGGAGATGGTTGACTCGAGACAAAATCTGCAACCGAGCCAGCTTTTGTGGTGATCAGATTTGAATGTAATCGGGAAGGAGCTGTAACTTGTCTGAAACCATGCGGTTTATTTTTCCCATGAGTGTGTCATGTTTCTATCCTCTTTAGAAGCAGAGAAGTCCGTTCCAACTAAGGGGTCAACCAAAGCCCTGCTTAACTGCAGCAAAAGAGACGGAGCTGATATGTGCTCTTTGAGCTGCCGATCAAATGTGTACTTTGCTGCTGGTGAGTTGTTAAATAAACATCGCTTAAGTTTCTGCCGTTGCTCAGTCTAGATGTTAGTTGTTTCGATCTCGCTATTCTTGAAGTAGCTCAGTGGCTAAATCCACCACATTGTGTGGGTCGGAGCAGCGCAGGGCAGAGAAAGGCCCAGCCCCTGATCCTTCCTGAATTAACTGGTGTTGGCCAGGATGGCACTAGGGGTTGCTGCAAATGGCCTCAAACATCCGAGTTGTGAATCACCACATTCATTATGAATCCCTGTAGCGAGGGAGGAAGAAGAATGGTTACAATAAATAATGACTACATGAGTTAGTTTAGGGTAAGTGATATGTATAGTGCTCTATCTCTTTGACGCAGGACAGCCTTGTTAATAATGCAGCCAGATGCTCATTTTATAATGGCCGTTGCCCTCTAGGGTGCTATAACACCTGAGAATATTATTTATCCTGTAAAATAATACACTATTTTACGACAATACAGCACTAAAAAATCTATGAAAAACGTTGAGACCTTCAATTTTATCCAACCAAAGACGTGACCTAAAAAAGGCTAAAATTAATGACTAACATTTATATAGCGCCCCTCATGCAGGGTAGCGTCCCAGGACCCTTGACAGTGGCAGAGTACTACGCTGAGCTGCGGGAGGTGACTGTAGGCACAGTTGAAGAGGAAGGTCTTCAGGCATGACCTGAAGATGGGGAAGGAAGGGGCAAAGCAGAGGGATAGAGGAAGAGTGTTGCAGAGTTTTGGGTCATGTGGCTGAAAGCGCAGCCACCGATGGTGGAATGGAGGGCACAAGGGACAAGCAAGTCCTGTCTGAACTCTAGTATTAGTCTGTAGAGACTGCAGAACACTAGCTTGCTATAATTTGATAGCCCAGTTCTCTATTATGTGTAACACCATTGTGTCTGGTCTTACATCAGTAATTGAGGCTGCCTCATGTTTAGAGATAGTTCTCCCCAAACTTCGCATTAACACAGTGATAATATTACAATGTTTTAGAGGATACTATAGAAGGATTGGAGATTGAGGTTATTGAAATGTGTGTAAGTTTAGACCATCAGGGTATCACCATCTGGTCCAAAGCCTGAAGATACATTCACTGATTGAATGTTGAGCGAGGCATTGATTTTTCTTTAATGTCCTGTTATTTGCCAGAGTCTGAAGATTCTTACACAATTAGATGTGGTGCATCTTCCCAATGCTCGCATTCTGGTCCGGACGTGTCCACTTGCACAGGTAAGGAAAAAGAAAACCATTCACAAGCTGACTATTTTATTTCCCCTTTAAAGGTTTCCTTGTGCTGTTTATAGGACTGAAAGCAATGCATTCTGTAAATACAAAACCGTCCATTTTCCAGACTCCAATAAAACTAGTCTGGAGATGATCACAGCACTGGTTAGATTCCATAAATGGCTTGTGCATATGATTTTTGTTGGATATGAATGGCAATTTAAGCTTTCATTTCTGACTGGTTAGGTAGCTCTGAGGCTGATTCATTCAGAGACTGAACAGCTAACCTCTTGGTCAGTTCCATTTTAATAACACCTCTGCAGTGTGTCTAACCTGACCCTAGCTGTCAAACGCAGATGATTAATTTGCCCGTGAAATTACAAAGAGGAAACTGATGTCTTTGTAATTCAGACGAGTATGTACACTCACAGAAATGTCCTTAGACTGCAAAGTTAAACAATATGTCAATGTCACACAAAAATACTTCAGCACCTTAAACGTTGTCGCTGAACTGGAATCCTGTATGTGAGTTCACTAAAAATGCTGAGTTATATATAAAGTGCCATTGTGTCTGTCCAGTGGCTAGACTTTTCACAAAAGGGAAAATTGTTCAAAATTCAGGAACTTTCGGTGCAAAATCTAGTCTTTGTTTTCTTGCACTTAGCCTTACCCCCTTTCCTTTTCAATGCATTTCTACCTTGTACCTTTTGGCCTCAGGTGGTAAATTACAGCCGAATTTCAGTGTAGGTGGTTCCAAGATTAGAAGACATTTCTTCACACAAAAGGCTGTGAGAATTTGGAATGCCCCTGCCCAGACACTGTAGAATCGATTGGGATGTTTAAAGAGGTGGTAGATACAGGAGAACCCTGTCATAGCCGCTTTCAGAACAGTGCTTCATCGCTTATAAGGTGGGCAGGAAATGGACCCTGATATTTTGTGACATCAAAACATGAAAATCATGTTAGCCTAAGAATAGCTCCAGTGGGTTATGTTGAGCATTTTCATAATGCACATTCTAATCTACTGGCACAGGTGGCAGGAGATTATTTCACTTGTAATGCAGGTTGAAATTTTCTGGATCCCAACAACAGTGTTGTAATGGGGTTCCACTGTAAATACTTGTGAAGGTTTGAGGGATAGGGAGAAAAAATGGGCCTGGGATTATAATATTTAACATGATTAATAAATGGTGGATGGGACTCGAAGAGCCGAATGGTCTCCATTAGGTTTCTTTATTTTTCTTTCCCGATTGGATCTACAATTGATCACTATGTTCACTCCTGAGACCAGCCAACTGTATTGCCCTTAGCGCCTCTTTGCCTGAGATCTCCTAACTCAGCACAGACTTGGGATCGAACCTGTGGCCTTCGTGATTTCTATAGTTCAGGTCTGCATGGTACAGTGTGTTTACCAACTGATCCTTGAGGGTGGGAGAGAGAGAGGGAACTAATAGTCCATTCAGTTTCTATTCGAGATCAGAGATGGTTTGCAAAGTGGGACCTTTGGGTCAGTGAATATCTGCTGTCTTGATGAACACTGCCTTTAGCAAGTCGTGCAATGCGATTTTTTTTCCCATCTGAACTTAACCTGAATAGCAGCTGGAGGAATGTTGTCTTTTTCTTTTTCCTCCCCGCAGGGTTGGACGATACAAACCTGCGAACAATTAAGACAACGGCAACTTTTAAAATCAATGCAGGAAGATGTGAGTTCAGAAGAATCAAAGGGAAGCTTAAAAATAGTCTAAAGCAGGTCCCTTCAGGTACATAGTAGGATTTCCAAGGAATGCGAGTGGTATTAGGCTGCTTGTCTAGCCTTTGTTAAAGATCAAAGTAGGAAGTAATTGCTCAGAGTATTGTTGCTCAGTCTGCATGATTTCTGCCTTTGTCCTAAGCACAAAGAACTAAAAGTTAAAATGGAAATAAGTTTGACAAAGTAAGTCGCAAAAGTAATTAAAATTGAACATCTTGTAGGTTTTTTCTTGCTCCACTCTCTGCAGCTGTTTACTTAGTAAGAGAGGAAACCACGTCAAAGGAATTAACCCTGACATTTCTTTTTCGTTGTCACCCTTACAATCATCTTATCAGATGAAAGCCTCATTTACTCCAAAGGAAAGTGATTTTAATTTCCACTTTTCCACATACAATCCAGTTGTATATTTCATCCCAGTAACCCTATGAAAGACAATGCAGCTGAGCTTGTACCAGGCTCACAATTTTTGTGCTAGAGCCAAGACTGTGAATTCCTCCCACCAGTGTAAAAGTCATGATCCCACAATACCAACAAACTCTTCTATTTAAAGTAGCTTTACCCTGTGTAGAGACATGGACGGGTGCAGCAGTAACATTGGGACCGACTGGATATTAGGATTGCATCAGTCTGGTCCCATTTAAGATTAGTTATGTTTTCTGATGTTCAGTGTTATTCTGATTCCAAGGGAAATACATAGCACACAGTCTGGTACACTGTGCTATCTATACCAGGCTGAACTGGCTAAATTGAGCCCTAATATAGCTCACCTATCTTAATCTCCAGGATACATGTCTTTTTTTATGCCAGATAAGAGTGCAAGAGCATGGTCAGCTGGGTGTCTGGGATGTGCAGAAACCCAATGCTATTCTTAAAAGTCCCCAAATCCAGCTGTTGAAAGCTCACAACCATGCATATTAAAGTCCAGTGCCCTGAGCCATGACACACTTTGGGATTACCTGCTAGAGTCTGGCAAATAGTTTTGTTTGAAGCACTCACATTGTCAGTATTCCAGAGCACCGCAGCACGTCTATCCACATGAATGGTAATTCCGATGTGCATGGACACTGACCCACACAAAAGACAATCTAACTTAATGATAGTTTATGAGGTCTCTCTGTACTTAGGGAAATATAACACCCGTTTCTAAACCTCAAACTGATAGGAAAAGTTCCCCACAGCCCATCTCCCCGTTCCTGTAGGGTATACCCCATCCGAATTTCCTTCTTCGTACTAATTGCTCAATTTATTTTCTCTCTTTCTCCCCCCCATCCACCCACCTTTTTTTGTTTCACTTTGTGCAAATTCAGAAACTTCTTCTAATTTTCCTTCTACAAAGAACTGCCAACTGAACTTTCTGAACCTGAAGTGCAGCTCCTCCAAAAAACCACACGATCAACCAGGCCAGGCATCACTCAGGAGCGAAAGCTCGGTACTTGTCGCTGTATTTGAGGTTGAAATGAAGCCGGAGGAGGTGACAGGTTGGTTTTGCAGGTCTCAGTAAAGGGGCGATTTACACATTACCACCTATAATCTTTGCTTATTCTCCTCTCCTCTCCCTCATCTACTCTTCTGGACAAAAGTATCTCCTGTTTTACCAACCAACGTAGTCTGGTTGGTTCAGGTGTGGCCTTCAGTTTTGAAGAAGAAAATGAAAGTCATTTGGCAAGTGCTCTTGCACTCTTATCTGGCTGAATAAAAGCTGTGCAGATGCCATTCTAATTCAGTCGAGTATTAAAACCGAAATCGAGTCAATTATTATTCAGATAGTCTTTATAAACTGAAGGCAACATCTCTGTGTCCACCTGAGGTGCAATTGACTGCCATGGTGTTGGTGACCTGTGCTATTTCTTGTGTATTTTTAAGTGGTGCTGGAAGTGACTTATGTTTATTGCTCCCTCCCGCCCTCCCCTGTCAATGGTACAGTTGCCATTTGCTGTGCTCTCTTTGAGGCTCTTCCCTGTAACACTGCCGTCCCTCTATTTGCATGATTCCTCCTGCCTTCCTTCCAGCAGAATCCTGTGATTTTGGGTGTGTGAGAAGAAAGACGGAGAAGAGGCTTCGGAAAACCATCAGGACCTTGAGGAAATCGATCAACCGGGAGCAGTTCTACCTGCGCCTGGGGGGAGCTGACTATGAGTTGACTAAAAAAACAGCAAGGCCAATGGATGTGCAGGAACTGTGTGGAACTGGTCAGGTTCTTCGAGAGAACAGATGCGGTAAGTATATAAACTCTCAACATTTCCCTGACGACTTGAAAAGTTTGGAGTCTTGTGTCTTCTGTTCAAACTTGCGATCCTCTGCCTCTACAGCGTCTTTTTAAAAAAAAAATTCTCATCTCTTTTTAAACCATTTCTGAAATAGTTATTCCATCCATGGCACATAATTTTTCTATCCAATTCTATTTTTACCAGCTTCCTCACTGGTTCAGTCAGCGAAACCGCTGTCTTGGTAGAGTTAAATTTGAGACGTGCAGCCACAGAAAGACTCTGGCTTGTTGCCTGGTCTGTGCTGAGCTGGATGAGCTCAGGGTGCTACAGTTGACCTCGGAGCTCCGGGGTTAGGGAGGGGGAAAAATCTGCCTTGTTTCCTGATCCCTATTTATGGAAGCCCTGCTGGAAAGTGTATGTGCCAATATCAGAGGCCCTAAATTTCCCATGGTCTTAAGATTCAAAATCATTGTCCTAAAGCTTATTGTTGGACGGAGTTTTGGAAAATTCTTGAATCCCTTCTTAATTTGGAAGCGGTTTGTTCGTACTTGTTTATTTTTACTTGTTTAAAACGATAAATCCGATTATTATTTGTAAATAAAAGCTTCCTGTCATTTGTGTGAACAAGCAGAGTATCAGGCTAACATTAAGGTTAGTGGATGTGTCCCACGGAGAAAAGCGAGTAATGTGTGACAGCTTATTGGGTCACTTGGTTTTAGACAGTTAGTGTGATGGTCTTTTCTGTGGATTGTTCATTTTCCTGACTGAGGTCCTCGAGAATGAGACAGTTTGAATACAGTAAAACCCGCATAAGTCTGATCTGTATAAATTTATAATCGCCCAAGTTGTACATCTGCTCTAGTCCCATTCAAGAGTTTAGATTCTATGCAAGTTTGACATAATTCGTACTTTGCACAAGCATTAAATGTATGGTACCAACTGAAACAACATTATGAGGTTTACAGCAGTTGCACAATTTTTGGAAGAAGTTTAGAAGATGAATGTTGCAGAGGAATGCACATGTTTAAGAAGTACCAAACTATGAGGTCTGTGAATCGGGAGAGCTGCAATAGACAGAGTCCAGAATCTGCACCAACCAGTCAAAGTGGAGTTAAAGTCAGAGTTTGCACATTTGAATTTTGCCTCTGGACATATTATTTTAACTGCTTTCTCCCCAGGTTACAATATAATATATACAGGTTTCATTCACACAACACTCAGAGGAATGTTAAGGCCTTTTTTTTGCAAGTTTTGTTGTGCAAAACTTCCAGTGAGTGAAGTTCCAGGAGAGTAGGTCAAATGTTATGTTAATCCATGTCTAACCACTGTGACAGCAAAGTCAGACTGCAGCCCAGCATGTGGCATCTAACCATGCTAATTACTATATGGCTTTGGGGAAAGAAGCTTTCACTTTTTCAAATGAATCCATCTGTGGAGCTGTATAGCAGCTTTCATTGCATAGCTCAGCTACACAATCAATGCAGCAATACAGTAGTCGATCACACAACTGATTACTGGTGAGATTAAATTCTGCAGTTCTTGTCATTTAAAATACACACTGTAAAAAGCTCTGTCTTGAAACCCAAAAGCATGAAAGGATAGGGTATATTGTGTCAGATTGGGAAACTGTTGATCTTAACCCTGATGATCTGAATTATTGCTGAACCTCAGAGCCTGACCCATGTGTGCAATTATTTCATTATATTGCATTTCAGATTCTGTATTGAATTTTTATTCTTGGGATTTTTAGGTGGTTAGTTATCCAATTCCTCACTTATTTGAACTGGTGATTTTCCGCAACTCTAAAACGTAGCTAACTGTGTTTGTACTGCTGGGCGTGAAGCCATGATTTTTTTTAAAAAAATGCTTAACTCGTGCATAGACCACTGAAATCGGGTCTTCATCGGGTTAAAGAATCGGCCCACTGAAAGTTCATGGGTTGTTCAATGGACAGACCGAGAGTTTTCAAAGAGTGATGGTGGAGCCAGCTCAGCGGGACACACACTGGCACATTCACACTGCAGGCTGTGTATCAATCTGGATTATGATTGAATGCAAAGAAAGATGATAAGTTCAGCACGGGTAATGTTTCCGGAACGAATCGCAAAGTATAATAATTCACCCTTAATGTCTTCCTCTGTTCCCTTGTCTCCTGCAAGTTACATTTTTTAAATTAGAATATTAGAAGTGGCTGATATAGCTATTCATTGGTAGTGTTTCAATGAAAGGGAGGATTTTTTTTTCTGCTGATCTAGTTGGAAACTACTTAAAAATACATTCAAAATCACGTTACTGGGGGTATGTTTTCAATAAGGTTGATAAACATTTAACTCGCAAGATCACACAGCCCGAGATTGTTTTACAAGTTGTGGGAGTTTTTTCCCAAGATGCTAATAACTTGCACAAAGTCGTCTCCATTGGCCTTTGATGTGCTTATTTTCAAGTGTGTTTGTTTGTCCATGAATGAATAACTGTGACTAACAGAGTGCAGAGACCTTCCAATGTTGGTGCAATTCAATAAATTACAGATGTGCGCTTGCGGTTTAATACATAAACCCAAGAAACTGCTCGCTTCTTGTAAACGGGCCGTTAATGCAAAGACAAACATTATACTAGCAATGCAATTTCATTTAAACCTAGAATAAGAATATACTGAGTGTAAATAGAGAACAAATTCCATGTCTTTTAGGACAAATCTACTTGAATTTGTTTTTACTTGGAAGAAATACTGATCGCATTTTCTCAAACTACCTGCTTCTCCAATATGCTGCTGTTTCTAATTCCTACAAAAATCTTCTAACTTTGCCAGCATCAGCAGTTTGAAAACTGCTTAGAACATTTTTTTTGGTTTGGCTTTTTAGGAGTAGTGGTGATATACAATTTGATCCTAGGCTTTAACCACCCCAACCCCCACCCCTCAATTTCTTTCCTCTTTGCAACCACGATAGAAATGACAACCCCAGTAAAGTTGTTGTTTTAATACTCTCAAGAATTCAGTTGAAAATAAAATCATCTTAAATCTTACATATGTATTTTTTTTCTCTCTAGTTGACCAAGTTAGCATTTTAAATGCTTTCTCTCCCTCTTTCTTCTATCCCCCTCCCCCTCTTCCAAACCTCCCCCCCCCCCCCACCCATGCAAGTGATTGATGTATTGTACACATGGCTATACAGCATGTCCTCAGTGTGTGAACTGCTCAGATGGAGTGACTCCAATGACACTGTGTGCATTAATATGCATCAGCTGTTTGTGATTTTCCTTGACGTGTTTAGGTGCAATTCCTATTAAGAACCTGGTGAAATGCAGGAGTGCGACCTCTTTGATTCGGTTCATTTGCTAACCAGTGTGTTGCCACAGTGTATGTCTGTATCCTCACATGGTCAGGGCTGGAGTGCTGACATCCCCTTTTATCCTCTTTGTAACCTTTACTCGTGACACCCTGTTGATTCTGGTTTTCCATCATAATATGCCTTTTGATTTTAACAAACAGCAGCTGTTTGGAAAAATAGGATGTTTGGGCACACGAGGTTGAGGTTAAGCTACTCACTCTGGCCATCATTTAAAGAAAGTTCTGAAAATTTGGCGCTGGTTAAAAAGGAACATAAGAACTTAGGGACAGGGGGAGTCCATTCAGCCCATCGAGGCTGTTCTACCAGCTTCTCAGGAATATCTAGAGTTTGCCTTCAGTACAATTTGGACCCTGTCTAATTACCTGCAATTGCATTGAAGTGCTTTATGATGCTGTGATAAGAGTATTTACATCAGCAAGTGATGGCCGGTGGGGGGAGGATGATTTTGCAGCAGGTCAGGTGGTGAGAATGTGGAACTCGCTGCTGGAACCTGTGTTTGAAGCAAAAAGCATCAACGTATTTAAGAAGAAAGTTTTACGTGCATACATGAGGGAAAAGGGAATAGAGGGGTTTAGGAGAGGCAATAAGCAGGGATAGAGGCTCAAGTCAAAGCTGTTTTAGGCTAGTTGGGCCAATGGACCCGTTTCCATTGCTATATCATTCTGTTTCAATCCGTTCAAGTAAAAGTGTAGTTCAAGGTAGTCGATTATGTGTCCACACCTGTGGTGCACAGAGAGCAAGCATGGAATGACACTCTTACCTTAATCAAGAAATGTTGCTTCTCTGGCATAATATTTTGTAACCTTTGAGGCTGGTGCAATCTTTTACCTCCTTCTTAAGACCTCACATTTTTTGTGAAAATAATCTTTTGTACTTGGGCCAAAACTGCAGATGCTGATGTTGTGATCAGTGCCATCATTTATAATTTCCTTATTTAATTGGGAACAAATAATGCAAGTTAGGATCTGATTGCATTGGTTATTTGTTGATTATTAAATGACACTCTATCTGATGGTTTATCTGAACTGAGTATTGGGTAGACCTAATATCGTTCCGTCAACCAATGGATGGTACTGTTCTAAAAGCAGTGATTTTTCTGCAGATTGGTTGTCACTAAATTCAGATGTGAACAGGGTAGGAAAGAGAATGGAAACCACACACCAGCTCCTGAAAGATACCTTTTAATGTCTCTTTATCATCTCTTGCAATACCACTTGTGACAAGATGGCTTGAATTGGCGACTTCCTCACATTCCCCTATTTGAGCAAGAAGTAATGTAGTTATTTCCTGTAGGGAAAGACTTTTCCCTGGGCTCCTTTGCCTCAGAAAGGTTAGCTCCTCAGGTCTGTGCTTCTTTATTGAATTATCCATCCTTTGTTGACCTGATTACATCTCTTCTTGCATTCCACTACCTACACAGGTTTTCCAATTGTTCTCCCACTTCAGTTACTTTCTCTGCAGAAGCTGCTGTTTCAGTATTACCCAACGACCCACATGGGAAACATTTGTGCTCTAATTTGCAGTGCTCGACCAAACTCCGGCTGTTATCACCTTGTGCAAAATTTTTGTTTGCTCCAAGCCCTCCGTTTTGCTTGCTCAATGAGTTTGGAAGTGCAGCCACTGCACATAAATAGATAAGTACTGAATTCACCAGTGATCTGGACCTTTTTGGAGCCATGTAAAAGCTGGTTTCATTCAGGGATGCAGACATAGAAGAAGTGTCTTGTGTTTCATCTGTTAAGCAGGGAGCCATGAAAAGTAAATCTTAAATCAGATATTGCGGTGCATCAAAACTGTTATAGGTTCTGGCTACTGTATGTACTACATATGATGTCTTTATATTACTGTTTGCAGGATGCATCAGGAATGTACTGGCAGATGTTTTCACTATATGTGTTCTTAGAGTGCTCGAAATGTCACCAGTTCAAGCTACTTGAAAAGGAAAGCTCTAGGAATGAGGGATAAATAATGAACAGCATCAAAAAGAGCCAGAATTCTGCAAAGTGCCAATCAATCCACGCTGTAAATGAGCTGACTAGATGGGTGTCTTCTTTAAATTAGATTTTATCAGCTGTTTTTCCAAGTACCTATTAAATATTAAAGGTTCATTCCCTGCGAATGCAAATTGAGTTTAAGCAGTCGAAGCATAATTTTGTTGTACCAACATTCATCATGTCATAATCAAAGGGTTAACATTCTAGAGATCAACTTATTAAGATAAAAGCTTCTTCAAAATCAGCATGGAAGCTCAAGTGTGCTTGTGACAGTCTATGTGAAGCAGATTTAAATCTGTTTGCAATTACGTTCACTGGTGTCTCCAAGTCTGCTCCCGTTATCTGTCAGCATTTTTTACATAGCTCCGTAAAGGTAATTTTTACGCTTTTCACCAAGTGAGGTGTGCAGATTATCCTGTCAAATCTGTTTTGTTCCATTCATCTAGTGGCCTCGCCGTCTAATTCCGATCTCTGTTGTTAGTTAGTTGTAGTGTTGGCACGTTCTATGATGGTGAACAGGAGCGGTGTATGTTATGTCCTGCTGGCACCTATCAGGATGAAGAAGGACAGCTCTCGTGTGAGCCCTGCCCACCTCTTGAAAGTCAGGGGAAGCAAAGGTCAACGGGCGCACGGAATATTTCAGAGTGTGGAGGTGAGGCACTGTGACAAAGTAACGGCTCTGGCTCAGAGGCTGTGACTCACGCGGGAGTTTTTGGTGCATTGGGCAATCGCGAGGATGGCGTCCTTTTAAGAACCCCACCTCAATGATGTACAGCGCTTAGGTTTTTGTAGTGCATTTTCACTGATGTGGTCTTGCCAGCAGATAGGGATTATATTTTGCCTTTTCTTTCCCCTCCTCCGCCCATGGTGCTGAATCTTGCCAGTGTACAGACCCATGGGTGCCAGTCTTGGGGGAGATCAAATGTGACAAAGGGTCTTCTTCATCTGAACCTCTCTTGTGATCTTGCCCAAATGGCTATTTTTCATGTGTGTGCCTTGCGTGTAGTTAGTCACAGGGGACGTCATGGATGGGACCAACTCTGTCCTCTCCCAGTATTCACACGGCAAACCTTCCAGCAGGGTCATGCCATTATCAAGCACGTTTGGCTGATCCTCTTTGCAAACCCTCACATTGCTGCGCTGCTTATCTGCCTCACCTTTCTTCATTCTGGTAATAAAATAGTCTTCGAAGTCTTAATGCTTCAAAGTGACTATCTCTAGAGTGAGCATCTGTTTCCCTCTCGAGCCTTTTTGTGAACTTCCAGCAGTTATCGGCTGCAATTTGACCGCTCAGACCGACCAAGGACACTCAAATCAGCACTTCCCATCACTTTAGCAAATATTGCTACTTGGATCCCTGTGTGTGTATCCAAATTACCCTGATGTTGTGTGTAATCCTGCCATTTCCTACAAGACTCTACGGGAGGGATTCTCCAATACTCTTAAAATAATCCACTGAGTCAAAAGGAGCTCCAAAGTTTTTCTCTCTTCCTTATGTACATCAATTAGCCTCAGCTGCACACCAGCTATCTTCCACTTCAAGCAATGTCCATTTTGAGTCCCCGCAACATAAATACTCATGCAGCTGGCCTCCAGGCTCTATCATGGGATGTTATAACTGTGTTATGAAGGCAAAAACTTATTTTAAATTGGATCAGAGGTTTAACCTGACCTAACATAGGTCCGTATGCCTATCCTACTGTCTACTGATAATCTGCAGCAGTGATGATGATGCTCAACTCCTTCCCAAAGTTACCTCAATGTTTCAGCTAGTCTCTGCGGCTGAGGAATGTGAAGGTTGAGGAGACCTGCTTTTTCCTGTCCTTTGTCGTCTCAGTCCGTACCTTGAAATCTGATCTGCCAGGTTTAGTCAGCTCAGGGCTTGGTGGTCCTGAGTGCTGATTGCCTTTGTAGTCATTTGGAAAGCTTGCGGCTTTGGAATCCCAATATTTTTCTCTTCCTTTCCGTTCAGAGGAGAATTGGGTATTTGGTGATCACTTGGTCCAGCTTCTCAGTCTTGTCCTCTCTCACTTGTGGCGACTCAGAAAAGCTGAGGCCCGAAATCACAAGAATTTCTCCTTTGCGGTAATGCTTACGAAATTTTATAAAATAATGCTGTTTATTGAAGGGAGATTCTGTTGGCGTTGCTGGCACTGCAGTTCTTCTTGACTAGTGTCTACCCTCCGTGTTATCTGTCCTTTACTGGTGCTCTCCTCCGCACTGTCATTTTTCTCCCAGAAGGAGGACCTGTGAATTGAACCACGCACTTCATCACTACTCCTGCCTTTTGGCTGAGACAGCACAAGCTTTGGCACATTAGCTTCTCCGCATGGTGAGGTACCCCACCTAGCTGTCTGGCTGAGAACTGCCAATGGTACTTGGCAATGTCCACATTGCTCCAGGACTTGGGAATACCAATGTTGATTGTTTTTTTTTAAAAAAAGTCTGAACATTTTAACTATGTTTCATTGCTTGTTTGTTGTTTTCTTCAGCGGTAAATCAATTGCAAGGATAGTGACTAACCTTTCGAAGAATGTGTTTAAATTTAGTTACATAAACAGTCACAAACCTGAGATTTTAGTTGCATCAAAATAGCAATTGTTCAATTAACGTTATATTGTAGCTAAAACAGTGCAGTGAGACTGAATGAACATCTTGTTCTGGGAGCTGGTGCAGACTTAATGGGCTGTCATTAAGTCCTTTTGTGCTGTCTTTTTTTATGATTCTATCATAGGTAAGTTTTGTTGCACATAAAATACAGATTAAATGGAATTATTCAATAAATCTGCAATAATCCCATGGATTTTTATGTACGGTGGTAAATGTATCCATTTTGAAACGTATCTACACTGGCTATTATAATAATCCTTGCAATGGAAATAGTGTCTCATTATTTCATTGAAACATCTCAAAAGAGCTTCACAAGATTTACTGTAAAGCATAGCGGCTGCGTATTTGTAGGCAAATGTTTGTGTGATATTGCTACGCACAAGTAGCCACAGAGTGCAAGACTATTTGGGGAATTGTTGGTCAGGACACAAGGAGAAACTTCTCTCTCTTTTCGAATAGTGCCGTGGGATCCACCTAAACAGGCAGGACCTTGGTTTAGCATTTCACCCGAACGAAATGTGTGTGTGTATATGCACATCGTTCGAAGTAAACAAACTGACTGATTACCTTGTTCTAGAAAGCTAATTTAAAATGCCGTAAACCAATGTTACTACATAACTCTGTCTTGCTATTTCTATGCTGCGGGTTTTGTCAGATTGTTCTTCGGTACTGTAGCTATTTGTCGTGAAATAGATGATGTGCATTTATGTTCAACGTTATTACCCTCTGTCTTCAGGTCAGTGTCTCCCTGGAGAGTTTTCATCTGATGGGTTCAAGGCGTGTCAGCCGTGCCCCCTAGGGACCTATCAGCCGGAAATTGGACGGACTTCGTGTTTTCCATGTGGTGGAGGTTTGACGACAAAACGGGAAAGAGCAGCAGCGTTTCAGGACTGCGAGACTAAAGGTAAGAGGCTATTGACAACTTCAAGGGTCAAAGCAAAGTCAGAGCTAAGTTGTGTCTGAAGTGGCTTTGTTAAACTACCAGGAGATTGCCTGAAAAAGTTGCGTTGTAATCTTCTCGTGATCAGACCTCGCCTTAAACATGTGATCACGCTCTAAATCAGATTGAGTATAAAACACAAAAAAAGGCATATAACAATGGACTGAATAAAGGACCCATGAGATTGGTTTCTGTTCATAGACAGCTCCAATATATGATGGATACTGCTGGTGACTCCATATTCACCTCTATTTCTCCTTTCAGTTTTGGACCATCCAAGATAATGGAGGGTGGGAATGGATCCTGGTTTAACCTTATTGGATTTTTCCACATCTCTCTCCATTTTTTTTTCTTTAAATTAAATGTTTCAGATCATGTTCTCCAGACGCAATACATAAATGTAAGTTTGTATTGTTCGTTAAAAAAACCTTTTCATTATCTCAAAGGCTCCTCAAAGCTTCAGTCCAGTTCTGCCGAAGGGTGAATGTTCATCTTATCTTTTTCTGGGAACATTTAGCACTCTTGTGTTGATCTCTGTTTGTATTTCCACAGTCCAGTGCTCACCAGGTCATTTTTACGACACAAACACACATAGATGTATACGATGTATAACAGGGATGTACCAGCCAGACTTCGGCCAGAATTACTGCATTGCATGTCCTGGAAATACAACAACAGATTTTGATGGATCGACTAATATAACCCAGTGCAAAAGTAGGTGTTTCATACCTGCATGATACAGAGCTGTCAGACATTGTCCCAAGTGAACGGTATCATTTTAAATGCAAGTTGTGCTGTAAGCCCAAACTATGGGTGGCTTGAATGGATCCATTTCAAGGTCCTCACACTAGTTTTCAAATGCCTTCATGCCCTGGCACCTCCCTAGCTCTCCATCCCATTTACTCCCCATTGCTTGCATTCAACTGGCTCTGGCCTCCTGCTCGTCCCTCCGTTCCACCATTGGTGACTGCACTTTCAGCCACTGCTCTCCAAAACTCTGGAACATTCTCTCTCAATCTCTCTGCTGTGTCCCCTCCTTCCCCATCTTCAGGTCATGCCTGAAGAACTTCCTCTTCGACCGTGCTTGTGGACATCACCCTCCTTCCCCCCCCTGGCTCAGTGTTGTGCTCTGCCATTTTCAATGCATCTGGGATGCTGTCCTGAGTGAGGGGTCTATATCAATGCTTGTTCTTGTTGGCTTTGTCAGTTTCTGAATAGTCTCCTTGTGGCTGTTACATTACAGACCGACAATGCGGAGGAGAGCTTGGAGACTATAGTGGATACATTGAATCTCCGAATTACCCTGGGGATTACCCAGCCAATGTGGAGTGTGTGTGGAACCTGAGCCCTCCCCCAAAGCGTCGTATTCTCATTGTGGTCCCGGAGATATTCCTGCCTATCGATGATGAGTGTGGTGACTATCTGGTCATGAGGAAAAGCTGTAAGTCGCTGCAACCTAATGGACATTGAGACAATAACATTCAATAGTTCAGAGGTTCAAAATTTTTAAATGCCTATTGAAAATTGTATACACCTGTCTGCTAACTGCAAACTGATGGATATCTGTGAGGTATTTCAAGCCCTTAATTGCCCCATTTTTGTAGAGTTTTTTTACACACCCACTCCTGGGAATGGTGGCAAGTGCTAGATTATGTCTTCTCAGGTGCTGATAGCTCCATTACACTAAATGGGGCACTGTTATATAATAATCCTTGTATTTGATATAGTGCCTTATCACATCTTCTAGACATCTCAAAGCGCTTCACAGAATATACTGTAAAGTGAATTGACTGTATGTTTTGTGTGCGACACATGGCAGCCGTTTGCGCACAGCAGTGTCCCACAAACCATCGTGGTATTGCGTGATCAAATTATTATTTAGTTTAACAATTTAATGCAGTTTACTTCTACCAAGCATAACAATAATTAATAATAAATAGATAAATAAATAATAAATGTCAATTGAGCTGCTAATTAACTCCATTTGATTTTTAGTGTGAATTGGTGACTAACTTTTGTTTTGTCGTGTGTTTGACAAGCGCTATCTAATTCAGTGACCACTTACGAAACCTGCCAGACTTACGAGCGACCCATTGCCTTCACTTCAAGATCAAGAAAGTTGTGGATTCAGTTCAAGTCCAATGAGGGCAACAGTGGCAAAGGATTTCAGGTTCCATATGTAACATATGACGGTAAATGCAAATTTCTCCTTTTTTTAAAAAAATATTTCCACCCCCCCACCCCCAACATTTGTATTAACCTCTCCCCCGACATTCAGTTAACACTCTTGTATAGCTGACGCAGAAAACATCCAATATACATTATCATGGAGTTTATAATAATAATAATAATAATCCTTGCATTTTGATATAGCGCTTTTCACGTCAGGAGAACGTCCCAAAGCATCCCCAAAGCGCTTAAGCTATGCTTAAACACAACGCACACTCTGGGGTCCCCAAGCTTTGGTTATTGCCAACTTGTACCTAATACTTTCTGGAATTAGGTAAGAAGGATGCATCCCTCCAGGGAGAGAGTGCGCATTTCATATCCACAGTCATATCTCTGGAAAATTCCAACAGAAAGGCTAAACCAAGAACAGGGCAGAGTAAAATGTTCTGATGTCCAGGTCATGTTGTGCTGTTTATATTTTTCTTCAACATGATTAATATTTTTCCTGTTGCAGAGGATTACCAGGAGCTCATCGAAGATATTGTTCGAGATGGTCGATTATATGCCTCGGAAAATCATCAAGAAATACTGAAGGTAAATGCGAAAGAATGAAGAGTTTGAATAAACGTGTGCGGGAAGAAATTGCAACTGTTAAAATAACTTGCTCTGTTAAAATAACATTTCAGAGCATCCAGAGTTTAGCAAACAGTTGAATTAAACTCGGTCTTAACTTTGAAGCCAGTTTTGTGTAGTCTCTTAAAAGAACTTGTAGGAAACCAGCTTCAAAATATAGGCTGTAATTAATAATTTGCTACATTCTAGACTCTTTGAACTGCTACATCAATACAATACAAAATTACATTTGTAAAACACCTTTCACGTTGGTAGAATGTCCTAAGGCACTGTGAAGCGAGGTGAAGGGAATATAGGATGGAGTTCCATAGGGTGGGGGCAGAAAGGTTGAATGCCCGACCGCCAATGGTGGGGTGGGCCGGGTGGGGGATGAGGAGCAGTCCAGAGTTTGCTGAGCGAAGGGAGTGGACAAGTTGATATTAACAGAGTCAATCTAGACCCATGTGGAATTTTATCCCTTGAATGTGTTAATGATGAGCAAACTTGGAACACGTTTACAACACTTAAAGAAATATTCAACCCTTTCCTTTTCAGGACAAGAAACTCATCAAGGCTCTGTTCGACGTCTTAGCACATCCACAGCATTACTTTAAATATACGGCACAGGAATCCAGAGAAATGTTTCCGAGGTCCTTTATTCGACTATTGCGCTCAAAAGTTTCCAGATTTCTACGGCCGTACAAATAGTTGGCGCCCTCTGAACATTTTGACATTCCATTCGGAAAGACTTTTTTTTAAAAAAAAAACATTTCATTTAATCTGTTCGCCTTCAATGTGTGTGAACTCCTTTGTGGAAGGGAACTTTAAAGTTTTGATGTAATGCATCATCATTGCACTCTGTTAAGACCTCCGAAACGCTGAACAGTGTAAATCATTCTTGATGGAGTAGGAATAATCTGGTGAACTGTGTAAACCAAAAAAAAATATTCTTTCTCCTTTTTTTTAATTTATATTAAGTAACAAAGAATATCTTCATAGCCCTGCTTGTTGTATACCTCGTTTTTTTTTAACTACACCAGTTTGCATACTTGTAATTATTGTGAGTGTATCAAATCTGTAGCAATTGGCTGCCATCTATGTCTTGGAGCTCAGAATAATAAAATTGTGGAGCCGACAGAAAGATCAATAGCTGAACGAAAGTCAATGGCCCACAATAAAAAAAAAGCACAGTCCACTGACCATTGAAATATGAATCTATCCACATCTTACATAAACAAACAGATTGGTAGAGAAACATGCGTAGGAAGCTTTCTTTGGGTGTTAGCCCAGTGCAGAGAGCGTGCAATGGCTTTGGCATCTTTTCGAGGCATTCATCCAATGCGAAAGACACTATGTAAGTAAAAATTGTTGTTGTTGAAATCCCTGATCCAGCAGGCCAGACCATTGGTGTGAAATTGACGTTCACAGTATGGTAGGACCGTGTTCATCTCTAGCCTTGCTGTTCAGGCAGCAACTCAGATGGAGTGAAGTCACGCTCAGTATTGTACAGATCTTAAGCATTAGTGTTTCAATGCTTCTCCCCTCTTCTCCTGAAGGGGCTGAGTTATGCCAGGGTTTAGTTCATAGACAATATTTCTGTCCCCCCAAACCCCTGCCCACCAGCGAACATAAGCCAAGTTGCCATGTATGAGCGCAGACAGCAATTGTTGCTGTTCTACCCAGTCCAGGGGCATTGAGGCCAATTGTACCACTTACAAAGAGCCACTTAGAAAATAACAGGATGCAGTGGAACAGATATGATGGGTCCAGAACACTACCCTGCATGAAGGGCACTATATAATTGCATGTTGTTGTTTGGTGCTGAAGATAGATGTTTCTACATTCTGGCTGAGAACAGGTATCACAGATCAAGCTTGGAACCTTCTCATTCTGCACTGCAAGCAAATATGAAATGATTTAAATAATTTGGACATCATGATGATCTCTACATAGTTAGGTTTAGACTTGGTAATGTTCCCACGTGTGTTGTCATTCTTTACATTTCATGATATTTCTAAGAAATATGTTTCTTTTCTACTTAGCTTTGGTCTATTGTACTTGGCATATATTAATGTAGTTCTTTTCTGAGCTCAGTCAGTGCTACCAGTCTTAACCATGTATACTGTTAAAGCCAGAGATGTTCCCCCTAGGTGAACACCTCACCTTCCAACAACAGCAATATTTGCTGCATGTATTCACATAAGTATTGATTATTTATGGCACTTCCTGATGTACATACTGAGCAGCAGAAGCAACTGGAATTGCAGGGATCCCAGGGGAAAGTATTTGCATGCCCATTCGTGTTTAAATTATTTTCACTGACGGAGGAAAACCCATGCAAGGCTGACTTTACAACAGAAAGCCAAAAGTCATGTTGAAAATTCACAAATTCTCCCTTCCAGGGGGAAAAAAAAACTTTATATGTTTAGGTTTGGGTGGATGGTGGAACCCAGTTTGCTCCACTTCTTGCCTTTATCCCCACTATCTGCTCTCCACCCCCCACCTGCTGAAAACTACAAATAATTCATTTTTAATCTATTATTTCACAACCTGTGAATCATCATTTTAAAATAGCAGTCCTCTTCACAGAGCACATGGGCCAGGGAACACCCTCGCTGTGCAAGGCACTGAGTGCCAGAACCATTTCCAAAGGCAGGGTTTCAAACACTTATTGTTCACAGCTGTGCAAAGTGAGAACTTGACATTTAGATCTGTTAGCTGGAAGCTATAGTGATTTTGTTTAGACAGGGCACTCCTGCTGTTAAAGTTGTGAAAGGCATCCCAGATTTATGAGAATGACATCAGCTGAGGAAAAAATACTTGTTTGTTTCTTTATGAACCTGGGATTGTCTCAAAACTGCGATGCAAAACTCGTCCATAAGAACAAAGATCTCATTGTATGAAATATTGCAAGGCTCAGGCCAGTTTCGAAATCATTTAATTTGAAATATGTCCTCACATGGAGAGAAATTGTGCCCAGGTTTAGGTTTATTCTATGTGTGTAGCATTTTAGAACATTCAGAATTTGGTGAATTGTTTGTAGTCCATTTCTGAAAGAACTTGCAGAAGATCAGCTTGAAAATTTAAGGTCGCATTTGAGAATTTACCAGATTCTGGATGTTCTGAGATACATAAATAGAGGACAGCGGAGTCCTGTACTCAGTGGTTAGAGCACTCGCCTGGCAAGCGAGAGACCAGGTTTTGATTCCCGGTAGGGCGAAACCTTGGGCAAATTTCCTTACTCTACATGCCTGATAATGATCCCTCAAGAAAAAAAACTATAATAATATGGTCACTCAATCCATGGGACACTGCTGTGTGCAATTGGCTGCCATGTTTTGCTCACAAATATGCAGTCAATTCACTTTACAGTATATTCTGTGAAGCGCTTCGAGATGCCCAGAAGATGTGAAAAGGGCTATATCAAATGCAAGGATTATTATTATATTATAAATGTAGACCCAGGACAACAATTTCTCCTGTTACATTTCTGCTGATCATTTGGATGGACAATGCTGCCTTTTTTGTTGTGCTTTTTATGTGTTCCTGTAAATTATGTAAAAAGTTGTTGCGTTTGTCCTCAAGTTTGATACTGACTGTCAGTGGAAATAAAATGTTTTACCTTGGACTTGCTTGGATTATTATTGTCTAATGTGACAAAATGTCAGATCCTTTTGATTGCATCTACTTCAATCATCCTGCCATTTCATCATATAGTTACATATTACATATAGCATCTTATTGATACTTTAGGAGAGGAATGTTGGAAAGTACAATAAAAATCACAGTGTTGGGAAAGAATGATATCTATGGCATCAAAGTGATTTCTATTTGATCACCTACAGACCAAATGAAGAGTGGAAATTTTAAAAGTTGCTTATTTTTCTTGCAAGGTTTTTGGCTCTGTGATGTTCACACTGCAGCACCTGGATATCTCTTCATCTCCTTGATTCTTCTATTGAAAAGATGGTTCTCTAAATGAGGAAATTGAGTTGTTCATGTTTGACACTCAATCTGGACCTGTTGTTAACCCTGTCCTGTACTGTGTGATTTGCATACAGACATGGTGACACTTCGATTAGAAACTGCCAACCTCACGCACATCTCATTTTCATTCAGGTTGTTAGGAATGGTCATTTGAAATTCCTTGGAAGTTAAAACATTCAGGTTGTGTAACTAAACGTACAACAGAACACTATAACTGAACCTGTGCACTATTTCTGCCACTGGGGATGCCATTGAGTTGCGTAAATGTCGAAAAGTTGTCAAAATTAGGGGTTGTAACAAGATGGCTATTTTGAAACTATGGGGGGGTATCATATTGCTTTTGATGTGATCAGATAAACATATTATGAAATATCACTGAGTTACCCCAGCAGGTCTTCTCCCTTAGACCAGAGAATGTTCAAACTCTGAACTATTAGATATCCTGAAATTAATCTTGCAACAACTATCTGGTAGAATGTAGGAATAATAATAATTCTTACATGTGATACAGTGCCTTTCACATCGACAGGACATTTCAAAGCTCTATACGGTAAAGTGTAGTGACTGTTTATTTTGCAGCAGACACTTTGCACATAACAATGACTCATTAACAGCCATGAAATGAATGACCAATTTTAACTTGGGGATTGGTGGTCAGGACACTTTGAGAAACTTCTGTCTTTTTCACAAGTAATCCTGCGGGATCTTTAGTGTCCACCTGAACAGGCAGACGGGACCTTGGTTTAATGTCTCATCGAAAGATGGCAGCACGAGCAACACAATTTGCACGCACTCCAGTGCTGCACTGGAGTATCAGCCCAGACTATATAAAGCCTGAAGTGGGACAACAAAGAAAAAAGGCAAGGAAAGGCTTTCATAAAAATGAAATTCAGCATGAAAAAATAGACAGAAAAATCATCAATCATTTACAGGGTCTTGAAGGCCAACTTTTACTTTTGGTTTTCTAAAATAGCCATCTTAAATCTTGCACTGGAGCTATTGCACAACAACGTACAAGTGTAGCGTATCTTTACATGTCCAAACTCAATCAAAAAATAATGGAGTATCAGGCTACACGTGCCACAATAATACGGCACAATTCACACCAGCAGATGCAAGCAAGTTCAACTTCGAAATCCAATAGAATATAAACAAATTTCAAGCTAAATTAAGGTGAGAAGAGATTTGCATTTTCTCCTCATACCAACTGTAGTGGATATTCAGTGGGTGGAACAGACTCTCAGTCAAAGTAGTTTGTGCTTTGCAGATGGAAATCAAGAGAGGTAGGAATAAAAACACAGACGTCTTGGCCCATTAAGATTATCCTTCCAAAACACCCACCCTACACAATCATTTCATTTTGGTGCCAAACTATTTTTTAAATTTGTCCAGCATCCTATCCTCAAACACCCTTCCTCGTAACCCTTTTGGACGTTAGTTACTCTCTATGATTCCTGGCCTGCAACACTTAAGGAAGGTAGGATGCTGGATAATAATAAATAACAATAATAATAATCCTTGCATTTGATTTATATAGCGCCTTATCATGTCTTTGAGACGTCTCAAAGCGCTTCACCGAATACACTATCAAGCGAAATGACTGAAGATTTTGTGGGTGATAGGAGATAATAATCATAACAATAATAATCCTTGCGTTTGATATAGCGCTTTTCACGTCGGGAGGACGTCCCAAAGCGCTTCACAGAACACACTGTAAAGTGAATTGACTGTATATTTGTGGGCGAACGCGGCAGCCAATTGCGCACAGCAATGTCCCACAAACAGTCGTGGATTGAAAATGACCAATTTATTATTGTTTTGTTTTTTTGGAGGGATTATTATTAGGCTCTGTGCGGAGTAAGGAAACGTGCCCAAGGTTTCGCCCTCTGCCTGGAACTGAACTCAGGTCTCTCGCTTGCAAAGCGAGCGCTTTAACCACTGAGCTGCAGGACTCAGCTACATCAGCTGCAGGAGATCACCATCACGAAGATTGAAGATGGAGCTAAAGAGGCGGCTCCAGAAACTGGAGGCGGCTTGTGAGTGAGCGGCTGCCGGCCGGGCGGGCGGGCGGGCGGGCGGGTCGGTGGCTCTCCCACCCCCTGCAGCCCGGCACAGACATCACATATAATACAGCCGCAAATCCTCAGCATTGCCCCTGTGGCCGTCCGCGCGCTGTCCTGATGACTGTGGCAGGTGTGGAGGGTTGGATGAAGGTGGTCCCCTGGGGCTGAGATTCCCTGCATCGCATCAGGGGAGTGTGTGAGAGGAGGGGGTGTGTGTGTGGGGTGTGGTGTGGTGGGGGGGGTAGGGGGGGTTGGTACATTTTCAACGTCAATCACTGATGATTGAGAGGCGTTGCTTTAAAGGAGCAGAAGCCACAGAGAGGGGCAGAGAGAGGAGAGACATCCTGAGCGGGAGGTGGGACAGCGCTCAGACCATTCAAGGACGTGTGTGTGTGTGTGTGTGTGTGTGGGGACCACTTTGCCTTTAACCTTCCCCACTGCCCCCTCTCTCTCTCTCTCTCTCTCCCCTTTGGCTGTTCCAGGCTGTGGAGGATGTTCTACTCGGATATTCTGACCGGGAGCCGAAGGCAGCAGATGGATATTCGGGACGCCGCCTCTCTCCGCCAACAGAGACGGATGAAACAGACTGTTCAGTTCATCCACAAGGACTCGGCGGATCTGCTCCCACTGGACGGCCTCAAGAAACTGGGCACCTCCAAGGAAACCGTGAGCTTCAGTCTGGTCCTGTTTTTTGGGGGAGAGGGAGAGAGAGAGAGAGAGAGAGAAAGAGAGAGGGAGAGAGAAGAGAGAGAGAGAGAGAAAGAGAGAGAGAGAGAGAAAGAGAAAGAGAGAGAGGAGAGAGAGAAAGAGAAAGAGAGAGAGAAAGAGAAAGAGAGAGGGAGAGGTGGATGGAAACTCAGGTCATTTAGGAACCTCCACGTTGTTCATCTTCTCCAGTTATTCTCCCCTTAATATAGTTCTGATGTTTAAAGTAGGATCCTGCTCTGATGATTCCTTTAGTCTTTACCCTCCCTCCCTTCTCCCTCCCTCCCTCTCCCTCTTCCCTCCCTCCCTCCCTCCCTCCCCCCCCCCCAACACCCTCCTAAATTATTATTAATAATAATCCTTGTGTTTGATGGATATAGCCTCTTATCATTTTTGGTTGAGACGACTCGAAGCGCTTTGCAGAATACACTGTAAAGTATATTGTACAATTTGCGAACCGCCTTCGCCTATTCCCGCCTCCCTTTTCATTGGAAGGATAATATCTTTCGAACCGAGGTATTGAAAATTTGATCCCACCACAACGTGGCGAGTTTCTGTATTCAATCACATGTCTTTATGTTGAAGCAGTTTAGGGGAGGTGGGGGGGGGGGGTGGTTCCTTATTGGGGACCAAACTAAATATCTGTTTGATGTACTGAGTGCCCGATCTCCTTCTTTGATAATCGCAGAAGCGAATGAATGTAGTTACGGTGCTGGGCATAACCATATGGTTTGGAATTTATTCTTTGGAGAAGCACATCCTTTTTATTAGCTGCGCAAAGGCACTTCGCAGTTTCCAGTGATCTGGCTGAGGAGGTCAGGGCAGCAGACAAGGGGGAGTTACTTTCTGATCCCCATCTAGTTCTGGAGGAGAGAAACAGCAGGGAATTCCCATATCTCCAATCTCTAATGCTCCCTCCTGCTCCACGTCGAATATTGAATAGTAAATATTGGCTGCTGCATTTCACCCACAAAATATACAAGCAATCCACTTTGCAGTATATTCTGTGAAGCGCTTTGAGACGTCTCAAATGCAAGGATAAGGTGCTATTATCAAATGCAAGGATTTTTATCATTAGCGAATACTTTGAAAATCATTCCACATCTGCAACATGTGTAAAGATTAGCCTCAATTTTTTAATGTATATACAATGGAGTCCTGTAGCTCAGTGGTTAGAGCACTCGCTTTGCAAGCAAGAGACCTGAGTTCAATTCCAGGCAGAGGGCGAAACCTTGGGCAAGTTTCCGTACTCCACACAGAGCCTAATAATAATCCCTCCAAAAAACAAAACAATACTAAATTGGTCATTTTCAACCCATGACTGTTTGTGGGATATTGCTGTGCGCAATTGGCTGCCGCGTTCGCCCACAAATATACAGTCAGTTCACTTTACAGTATATTCTGTGAAGCGCTTTGGGACATCTGGAAGACGTGAAAAGCGCTATATCAAATGCAAGGATTATTATTATATATAATCTAATAAAAAAAAGTAATGGTATTCAGTGGTTGTAATTAAAGCAAAGAAAGAGAAGTTTGCTGGTAAAATATTTTTCTAAATATCATATAGAATTTGCACAGAGCAATGAAATTGTAAGACCACTGATTTGTGGTTAATCCGATCTGTTGATTTAGGAGAGATTTTAATTTTTCTCGTCTGTGGAGGTGCTGATTTTTGGCTGTTAGAATCCTGCATGCAATGTCGTGCGCTGGACAGACATTTGACTGTGAGAACAGCACACGTCCACAATTAGCCGATTTTGCTCAGTATGACTCATCTCGGGTCTGTCTCACAAGGATCCAGACTACATGAAACCAGGCGTCTGATATTTGCAGAGGGTGCCCAGCATCATTCCTGAGACAGATGTGCCCTGCAGGTTATTTGCAAACTGTCTTGCATTTATCTCTGAATTTTGCTTGTATTTCCCCTCCCTTGTTAGATGAGGTAAGCAGAATGCGTCCCTCCAGAGAGAGAGTGCGCATTCCATTCCAACAGTCGATCTCTGGGATTTCCCTGTGTAGGTGGGATGCATGGAAATGTCAGCTTGGTTTGGGTACTCTTAAGCACGGTGATGGGTTTCCGCATGCGTAAGAAAAAATAATTGTTAGTCGCATTGTTAAATGGAAAGAAGAATTGGAACGGTCATATGACTGTTATAATAAGCTGTTATTCAGCATCAGTGAGAATTTATTCTTAATGGTAAAAACAAACCAGATTGGCACCCTGGCACAGTTGGATCAATGAAATCCCGTTTCATTCCAGCAGGAATCACTTAGCGGAAAGGTAATTGCAGATAAGCTCCTGCGGAATGCAGAGGCCACTTTGTTAGTATGATTTTCAATACTATTTGTTCTATTTTCAGCAGCCACATAACATTTTGCAGAGGCGTCTATTGGAAACCAACTTGTCAAAATTTCGAGCCAACAATCGAGGGACATGGTCTGCCACCAACACCTTCCCAGTGCAGAGCAATGGCCTTTGTCAGACCAAGACAGAGCGTCCAAAAGGAACCAATGTGGAGGACCTGATATTTGTGCGCTGTAAGGTAACTGAGTTAGTTACAAGTTCTTAAATGAGCTTTAAATTTACCAACCAATGGAGAATCACCGACGATTGTTGACACACAGTGTGGCTTTTGGGACCATTTTTAACCTTGCTTTGTGTTACTGTTTTTTTAAGTGTGCTGGCACAGAGGTAAATGTACAGATTGACACTGGCTGCCGATATAATCTGATGTCCTCTGCCTGTGCTGACAACCTGGGGTAGGTAACATCATATCCTACCTGATTGTAGACATTTGTTTTTCTCTATTATTTCCTCTTCTACTGGCGATGTTGTTTCATATGTAAGGGAAAAATAGGATTAAACTTTGTGTTTTCCACTCTGTGAGAACCAGCTCACTGTGAGCTGAGAGGTTGTCAGCATGGGGAAGGAGTGGGAGAGTTATCTCCATCAAGATCTAGCAAGGTTGGTAACGTTACCTTTTGTGCCTTGAATAAATTTTAAAGACAACCGTGACATTTTATCTTGAAAGATTTTTTTCATTTGCCGACCTGGTAGGAGATGACTGAAGGCGGAAATGCAAAATCATTTATAAGTAAGAGAGAGGAATGGAGGAAGTGGTGATTTTGTATATACTACTGCATTGATGCCCTATTACTGCAATCAGTCTCCACAGAAAGACTTGTTCGCTCTCAACTGTTTCTATATTTGTCGATACAGTAATTACTGTCCATAGCATGTATGCATTATGTAAGTTCAGTCTTCAGAATCGGCCAGCGTAGGGCAAGTAAACAAACTCCTTTTAAGCAGTTCTTTTCTGTTTTCAGGCTCAAGGAACTCATGCAAACGGACGAGGGTAAAACCGAAAAACCAAGGACACCTTACCCTTGCAAGATTATAGGCCAAATAGAAAAGATTGCAGTCACAGTAGGACAGGTCATTATTGAATGCTCAATAATTGTAGTCGGTACGTTTTCAAACTAACCAATATTATCATTTTTATTAATATATGCTTTCCAGTGTCCCATTTTGCTTAAAATGTATAGTAAAAAGATGCATTAAAAATACAGTGAATACAGTACACGCCTGAATCAGTGCAGGCATCAGTAAGCAATCCCATTAGAATTCATGTTGATCTGTGGGGAGTCTGCTCTGGAAATACATGAGCAAAGTTCCCATGGGTTGGCATAACGTACTTCCAGTTTCTGGAAAGAATTCCAATTTGTGTGACTCTGATTCCTGATATAAAGGAATACTGTTAGCAAATGAATTCATGAAAGGGAAGGTCATGCTTAACCAATTCGACCTGTCAGCTCCCTCTGCTCAGCAGGCTCTGGCTTGCTCCACGTCCCCCACATGCCTGCCCCACCATCGGCAGTCAGACCTTCAGCCTTTCTGCCCCCATCCTTTGGAACTCCATCCCACAGTGCCATTTGGCTTGCACCCTCCCTTTCCCTCTTCAAGGCACGTTTCAAGACTCTCCTCTTTGTCTGTGCCTTATGTCGCCCTCCTACCCCTACCCTCCCAGCCTTCCACCCGTCCTAATCCCAGCACCTTGCTCGGGTCCAAATCCCTAACTGTCCAGCGCCTTGGGATGTCCTCCCAACGTGGAAGGCACAATACAAATGTAATTTGTAGTTGTTTCCATGCTATATAGCTCTATTTAAATACCACCAAAAAAGACCTTCATCGTTACCTCAACTTGAGTTATTTTCTCTCTTGGCAGAAGCTGATGAGAAAACCTTCTCCTTTGGGCTGCAGACATTAAGATCCCTGAAGGTATAACGTGTTAAATTATTTTCCAGAACAATTATAGTTTGATGCGGGAAGAGACAAATTGAGTATTTTTTTTATTTACCAGTGCGTCGTAGACATGGAGAAACAATACTTAATTCTGGGAGGGAAGGAGAAAGAGGAGATTCCCTTTCTGGGTAATGATGACAGCAGTTTGAATGAGGGTAGGTAAGTGGAGTGAACATTATTCAGCTGTATAGAAGCTGCACAGTACAAATGTAATGCTTTTATAAATGGATTCAAAGTGCATTAGTGGTAGACAGTGATATCAGTAGCTAATTATTCAAGTGTGGAAGAGTAACGTTGCTATTTGAATGGGGTTGGTGCCCGACCAAATAATTTGCATGTACATAGTGATCTTAAAAGGCTTTAGGACATGAATATACTCTTTGAATGAAAGGAGTGAGTTGGCATTTAGCCAGTCTTTAGCAGAGAAAAAAACCTGTCATGATGAAATCATCTCGGTTTATACAATTGTGTGGCTTAATAGAGGGGTCAAAGGATAGTGATGGTTGCTTCCTGACTGATGCCCACCTGCCTCTCGAAGCCCTTAAAATGGCTTTTATTTTGAGTCATGGCTCTTGTTTATTGGAACAAAATTACAGTGACTGCATTTGGCTATTTCTGGTGTGTTGACTCTGCCTAGGATACAGAAGCCAATACCATATCTTTTCTAGGAAGTTATGATGCTCACCGGATTGTTTTTTTTCTTTCCGTTTTGCAAACCAATCCCAAGATTTTCACATTTTAATTGATTCGGTTCTTGTTTGCTACAAAGGTTAATTTGGTTGGGTGCCTGTGGTTGAATAGCACAATAAACATGCTGAATACAGAGAATGGAACCCATATTTCATTATATATTGCAGCTCTTAATATTTAGGATTTGCTAACAAAGAAACAACAATAATAATCCTTACATTTGATGTAGCACCTTATCACATCTCAAAGCACTTCACATATGTAAAGTTTGTAGGTGAAACAATAGAAACGCGATGCATTTTCTTCTTTCTTCAGTAAATAATTGATGTCATCTATCCTTTTTCTTAAAAGCAACTCTCAGTGAAGTACCGATGGAAATGAGTGACCGTATTCACTGCTGGAATGCAAAGATGTCTTCAGTGGATCATGCACAAATATGACCTAACATCAGTTGCCTCTCCAATGCCAGCCTTCACTCCTTGCTTCAAGTAGGGATCGACAATAGAACAGCGTTACCCCACAGACTGCTGACTTCCCCAGGAAATTAAATAGCACTACAGTATTACCTGAGCTTTGTTTTAAAAACAAAATAGTTAACCTGACAACTCTGTTGCAGAATGACTACAGTTATAAAGGAGCACATTAAATGAAACGTATTTGTCTGAACTTAGTTTAGAAAACACAAAGTTAACTTTTAATTCTTTCTGCATGATGATTTGGATCAATGTGTTAAACATTTATTTGTACACTGTTCTGAGAGTGACATTGACTTTGCTGGTGAAGACCTGAACATTTAGCCCTAGTTAAACCTGTGACTGGTGTTGTATTTGTTCAGTAAGATCTGCTGTAGTCTCTGATCTAGTGCCTATATTTATATATACACACATATATATTGTGGGAATTTGGTATTTTTTACAGTACAAATACTTTGTGAGTAATTTTCCATTTTTGTACTTTTGTGAGTTTCTAGGTTTTATGCGCTACTGAGTCTATGGTCTGATATGTTTTGTGAGGGTTGCGCTTATGTGGAATTCAATTATCCATTGAAGGTTTTTCAGCCTTCAAAATATGCACCTTTATGATCTTGTATTCCCCCCACCCTCACACACACACACACACACCACACACACACATAAACTGATTGATGTTGATTGCTGACTGTTACAAAATACACACAGAAAGAATGCCGATCGCTTTGAAATGTGCTTAAAATAGAAATATGACAATCCAGTTACCAACACTCTGATTTGTGAAGGAGGCATGTGTTGGTGTTGAGTGACAGAGAAGTGGAGAGTGCACTAGCTGATGCATTGTTTTTGTCATTGGACGACAGGAAGAGAGAGATTGCCACATGAGGTCATTTTACAAATGTCAGCAACATAATACTGTTTGTGGATCCTGATTCACTTCTTTACCTGAGACCAACAGTGATATTAAATTGTGCTGTAAACCTTAGCAGTGGGAAGGTGTTGCAATGTTGACCAAATGGCACAGAACATTGGGGTATCAATGTGAGGCACTGGCAGAATAGTGCAGTGTGTGCTAGCATAATGGAGTGGAACATTGGCACAGGGGATAAGCGTGATAGTGTGTGCAATGGTGTAGAGTATAGGTATGACAGGATGAAAGGTTTGGGCAGAACATGGTACAAAACTGTGGTGTACTAGCCCATTGGCATCTTACATTAGTGCGAGAGTGCATTCAATTGTTGCAAATTGATGTACTTTACAGGCACCTTGGCGTGGAGCGATAATGGGAGTTTGTTGCTGCAAAGCATTGGTGTGGTGTACTGGCGCATTAGGATGGAATATTGATGCAAATGTTTGGTGACTAGGTGGAAAGCATAGCTAAGCCCATGAACCATTTTGGATCCCAAATGTCTCTTTTTTGCTCTCTTCTTTCTCTCTCTTTCCCTCCATTACATTAGCAAAAGCAAATTGATCTTAAGAGAGTGTCACTGTATTTCTAACATTCAGCCTAAATCGATTTGTGTGCCTTTGGTGTTGTGGTTTCAGTATATTGGGACTTTGAAGTTGTAGCTTTGAACTCAGTCTTAGTACCTGTCTTTATCATGAACAGATTTGTTTTTTGCAGCCATAAAGAAAAAAACCTTTGACAGGATATTGTGGCATTTTGTACTTGTGTTTTTTAAGGTAGGATGCAGGCATGCTTTGTATATGTATCTATGATTTTGAAATTTAACAAATTTTGCATGTTTTGTGACATTGAAATCTTGTTTAAATGGCTTGTGCTGATCTGGCTGGAATATATTTGAACATGTATTTTGTGCAGAACTTGCAGTGATCAGTGAAATAATGTGGCAAAAAAACAACAATATAACATGCTATGTGTGTGGTGTGTGTGTGTATTAATTAAAGCTATTTTACAGCAGTTCTGTGTATGGCTTGTTTATTTTAGGAAAACCTCCTTAAAGAACCAACATGAAAAGAGGACCGGCTTAGATATTGATATTACATAAGAATAGATTTTATAATAATGATCTTTGCATTTGATATAGTGCCTTATCGTGTCATTGTGAGTACTCAAAGCTCTTCATAGAATATGTTAGAAAGCGAATTGACTAATCTATGGATTTATTTTTTAAATCATAAAAATTTTACAGCCAGTTAACTGCTTACCTTGATCACTTCTTTGCAAGCCGGAATGATTTGATGACCATTTAGCAAAGGGTACCTTTCTCGCCTCTACCTCTGTCAAATTGAACACTAGCACTTCACATTCATTTTTTTTCTTGCAAAAATAAAATAACATCTGTTATTGCTGCAAAATGAGTAATATTTAGCTCCGCACTAACGGTATAGTAGCTGGGTATCCTTGTTTGACTTTTCATGATTATTAAGAAGCTATTTATGTTTGTGCATTCTGCAATCAAATCATCAGTACAACAACATCACAACAGATGGATTGGACTGCATCTATTTCTAGGAAGACTACAAGAAACTAATGTGTGAAGAGGTTTTTATAATCTCCTCACCTCCCACCCCCCACCACCTAACATAAGGATATTGGTTGACCAACATAAATTGTTGCTTCAGGTAATTTTGCTACCAAAACACTTAAATGTTAAAAAAATTGCTTCCATTAGGATGAAGTAACTAACGCTTGTAGTATCAGGAGATAATCTTCTCACATCCTCATCCAAAAGCACTTAGAGCTCAGGCAAAGGTTCAGGCATTATCCTCTTCTCCCTCTCGTTTCCAGCCAAGTCACTCTCATCTTTTTATTCATTCTTAGTATGCCTTGTACTTTGAAGTCAGTGTTGCCAAAGATTATAATCGGCTTCAATGCTAAGAACCAACAAAAAACTTTTTTAAAGGACTTGTTTTTTTTATGTTAAAGATAAGCTGTGAGGTCTATTATATCTATGTACGCACTCGCTCTTGAATAAGATTTAAGTGCACTTGAAAATTATGTAGTGCTAGTTAAGATATTACATTTCTAAACTATTGGCTTGAACGATGTCTCTTGTGACAAGCAATACAAGATGCACTGTTAATTTTCATCTTACAGTAATTACTAAAGTGAAAATTTACTCTGGCTCTTTCTGCATCCATCACAGAATTATCAGCACTGATAGAACGTTTACCATGCCTTATAATAGGCCACACTTTCAACTGGTGCATTTGATGTACATTTACAAAAGAGGCTCCTAATGAGTGACTGGTATAACCTGTTCTTGAGAATGTTCTTCTTTAGGTGTGTCTTTGTTATAAATATATAGCTCTGAATCATAATTAAAGACTTGTCTGATGCATTTTATTGAGACTCACTCACCAAAGAAATAACTCGCTTGCAATCTGCCTCACTGTTAAAATTAAACTCCAATCTGTTCATTTCAGTGGGCTTGCAACTGTTTTTATTCGGATAAAATACCAGCCTTCTGACAGCTATATACAATATGTCCATCATTGTTAATTGGCTCAGTTACGCTGTAACAGCCACGGCTGGGCGATGCATGGAACCCGGATCAGCAAAGCTAAGGTGATCTGTCCATTGTGTCCCAGACAAAGCCCATCCCATGCATAGAAGCCAATTTTTTGTTATCAAAATCGAGAGCAGGGTGGAGATCAAGAGGAACAATATGGCGGCTAGTTTGGATACAAAAAACAGAATTCTGTTTTTTACAGGAACTCAAGAACCAAGTGTGCATGCTTGATTGATTTATTGATTGATTGCCTCAAATTTGGGCTGTCTGCAATTGATACTCAAAGTTGCATGCGGTTCTCAAGATATCAATATGTTCTTGTGCTATAAAACAGCAGTAACTGGCCAAGGCTGCAGCTCTCTCGCTCATTTCTGTAAAGTGGATTCGAGTCTGACACTAGGTCGCTTCTGCTCAAGGTTGTTATAACCTCCAGTGACAGGTTGAATGAGCAACACAGAACAGAAGCTGTCATCTGCCTGACACTGAGAGGCGGCGAGAATGAACTTTTATTTCCGTTTGCAGATCAAACCTTTCGTTAATATGTTGCTCTCTGTAGCCTCAATGGAGGCAGATAGTGATTCATGGTACAGCAGTGGTTTAGATTTGCTCTGGATGTGGATAGTAATTTTAAACATTCAGTTGTATATTTTGAGCATTGTGAGTACTCTACCTCCCATTTGTTCTGAGCTGTAAGCTCGCCATTGCCTGGTAAGCTAGCTTTCTCATGCTACTGTATGATTGTAGATTTGTGGGCATCTTAATACACCACAGTCCCTGGTGCTTTTGCTGACCAGAGCTGGTATCAGCAAAGGTGCTCAAGTCTATGTTTTTGCCTCCACCCACAGTCACTTCCCTTTATGTTACAGAAAAGTATGGTCATTGCATTTAATTAAACCTTTTCAGAGGTTTACCAGGAACCAAGTGGTAAATTCTGGAAATGCACAACTTATATTTTTTCATATAATAGTTACACCCCATGGCATGTGTGAGTGTAACAGTTGATCAAGAGGAATATAACCATTTCTCCTCACTCTTGGCCTAATTGTCTATTGAGCATTGCTTTTGATTTAATGGTTAATAGTACATTGACTATTATTCATGGGCTGCAGGCAATTGACCACTAATAGTCTAATAGCCCAATGGCCATCACTCATGTTACTTCACACTTCTCACTTGTAATCAAACAGATAGGTAACCCTCCCTCTCTTCAAGTCCGTGCATGGAAAATGATCACTGGAAGCACTGAATTTCAATGGCCACCTTAGGAGAGGAGGGAAAGAAATAGGAAGAAAAACATTAGTAAGTTGGTGTTCACTCTTTAAAAAGAGTCTCGGAATCTCGTAGAAATGTTTGTAGAAGATTTTCCTGTGGCTCTGTCATATTTTTCTCTGTATTGTTCAACGCAATGTAATTGAACTGCCTATTTTAGGAATCCAAGCTTCTTCTCTCATGATTTGCTCGTAAATTTGCAGGTCAGGTTGACATATTCTGAAGCAGCAGCCTGTGTTCTCTGAGAACTGAACTGTTACTAAGTCAACTGCAATAAAAAGGCTTAAACTTTCTAACAAAATGATAGCAATTTGGCTTAATGCAATCATAATTCACATTCTATTGAAGTCACCAGACCACTATCTGATATGTTTAACTTTTAGTAACATTTTGGAGATTTCTTCCAAATATCTTGTTTTTAATAAAGTAGTGCCTGTCCTTCAGTCCAATTTACTGTGAAGATTTTATCAGTAACCATGTGATTGTTTGAGTATCATGCTGATGTAATTACCCATTGAACTACCAGGAGTTCTTCTCTATGTTGTTCAATGCAATGTAAGACATGTACAATGTTGAAGTCGAAATGCAAGTAAAAGGAGCATTGTGTGAGCAATAAACCAATCTCCTGGAACAAAGCTATAATTAACGAAGATAAAACTGAGATATAATGTGTTATTATGCCTTTGGAAAGAGGAAATCAGTGATCATAGGAAACTGGATTGAGGCTTTTCCAACAGGAAATATTTATTTCTCTTCGAGAATAAATGTGGAGATAAAATAATTGAGCACAGTAGTCAATGAGAAATCCAGGGGACCCCTGGAGTGAATCCTATGTGCCCTGGCACTTTAGATAAATGAAGAATAAGACAAGATGCAGCACAGGAGGAGCTGAGTGTCCGAGAATCAATAGAACTGACCATTGAAACAACACTTTCAGCTGAGTTGCATCTTGTTGTTTTCTTGATTTAATTGCTTCTGTTGACATTTAGAGACTACTGAAGCTTGCCTCTCTGGGTTTATAGCATTGTGCACACTCTCCATGTACATTAAAGCTTAGCTCTGCCATCTTCTGCCATCTGTTATTCTCTACAAAACAATGTAGAGCACATAATAAAGTGCCCACCCTTTAATGAAATACTGGGGTGTTTTGAAAATATAAGAAATTTGACTTTTTTAGAGTTTTGTTTTGGGGATTGTAGTTGTATTTTTTTCCTCCTCCTTGATCATTCTTCATGCACCACACCATTTTAGAAAGGGCAAGCAGCTGATCTGATCCCTTGACTTTGCCATTGAAATTCTTTTCTGGAGGCTTGAAATATCACCCACTGGTAGCCTAAAAGGAAAAAAAATAGTGATCAGGCTAAGAGAGGTGAAATTACAGATCTCGGATTTACCAGAGCAGATTAGGCTGATCGGTTGGTGTAACAAATGGATAACCAAGGCAGCAAGAATGGCTCTTCTGAGATTGGTATTGAGATGTTTTCTTTGGACTAGATAGAGGGTTTCAACCTTCATTTTATATTCAACTCACACTGTACATGTACGTGCCAAAAGTATTAGTTCTCACCCCCGTCATCCCTTACAAAAGAATAATTAAAAAATATAGACATTCCTGTTCCAAGACGCTATTATTTTATCGTTAAAATACCCTTAAGCAAGTGAAGCAAAGAGATGGAATAGGTTCTTGGGGATGATTAAAACAATTTTGATTAATAATTAAGTAATATATAAGCGTTTTCCGAAATGGTGTGTGCTTTCCAAAAACGAAAACTCAGAGATTGACTATTAATTTAATTGGAACAACTCTATTCAAAATGAATCATACCCCAGCATTTAAATAATCTCTTTGGCAGAAGCTGCTTCCTCCATCTACATTCCACTTTCCTGTATCCGGCCTTTTGTCCCCACTCATCATCATCTGAATTGAATTACTTTAGCAAACAGTACTTGGCACCAGTGGTAATTTCTTCAGTAATTGAACTTGCTCATGATAGAAACAATTTACAGTACATCTATCCCTGACTGATACTTTCCATCTGCTTGTATTAAGGCAGAGTGTGTGGTTACCCTTTCCACTTGCAGTTCACTGTCCCAGCTAAAACCTGGAATGAAATTCAGCTCCTTTTTTAAGTGAAAGTCCTGTAGTTTAGTGGTTAGAGCACACCCATCGCAAGCG